TATCAATTTTTTTTTTTAAATTAGGCAAACAGAAAATGGTATGACAGCAATCCAGATAAGTCAAAGAACGGGTAAGTACCTTCCATTGAACAGCATCTCTAGTTACAAGAAATAGTTCTGTGACCATGGTATAGACATGACTGGCAGAGGAACAGCACCACGAGTTGCCGGCAGTATAGTCCCTAGGCCAACATGTAAATACATATCATTCCCTGTGGGGAAACATTGATCCATGACTGCCTAATTTACTGAAGGTTACTAGTATGTATGTGGAATATAATCCCTTAGCTCCTAATGCAATCCCTCTCTGCCCCAATGTTCTAAAAAGCATGCAGGGCTTGGTGGGTGATGCTCTGTGAGATGAGGCAGATCCTTTAACATCTCAGGTGGTTTTTCTTACTGGAAGGACTGTCAGGTGAATTAGGGGCTATAAGAAAGAATCTCAAATTGGTATTGTCAGGTTTAAAATAGAACATCCTCGTGTACAGCACGCCAGCACTGAAAGCTGTTCCACACCAGGGGAGGAGGCACTCAACCTTGACATAGGTGAAGTGAGGAAAACTTGGAGGAGAGTCAAGAAAGGCCCCAGGCCCCGATAACGTACCTTGGCGGGTGTACAAGGAGTGTACAGGTTAGTTAGTGTACTCACAGACATTTTTAACACCTTGTTGGACCAATCCATAGTGCCATCATGCTTTAAGTCTACCACCATCATTCCAGTCCCAGAGAAGCCTCAGGTCACCTCGCTCAATGACTACAGGCCTGTCGCACTGACTCCTATTATGAAGAAGTGCTTCCAAAAACTGGTTAAAGAACAACTCATCTCCAGTCTCCCCCCAACATTCGACCCGTCCCAGTTCACCTACCGACAAAACTGCTCCACTGAAGACCCCATCTCCTCTGCTCTTCGTCGAGCCCCCTGCTGTTTTTCCTGATGACACATGTCTGCATAACCAAGTTCACCACCAATCACAACATGAAATTTGCAGACGACTCTAAGGTGGTGGGCCTCATCAGAGATGAGATGACAATGACCAGTACTACAGAGGGGAGGAGGAATAGCTGTTGGTCTGGTGCAGAGATATCAGCCTGATCGTGAATGTGGAGAAGAAGGAGGAGATCATCGTCAACTTAAGGAAGAAGCGGCCTAACCATGCTCCACTGGTCATCAACAGCTCAGCTGTAGAGGTGATCAACACTACCAAATTCCTGGGAATTCACTTCACAGACAACCTCACCTGGACTGTAAACACCACCTCACTGGTCACAGAAGCACCAAAGAGCGTTCTGACCAGCTGTCCCACTGTGCGGTGTGGGGGCTACAGCACCCCAGACTGGAAAAAGGTGAGAATAGTGGTGAGAACAGCAGAGAAGATCATTGGGGCTCCTCCCTCCATAAAAGACATTTCATCCCTGTGCTGTGTGTAACATTATCAATGACCCCTTACACCCCCACCATGGATTGTTCTCCCTGCTGCCCTTTGGGAAGAGGCTTCGCAGCATTCGATGCAGGTCCAGCAGATTCCAAAACAGCTGCTTCTCCACTGCTATCTGATAGCTGAACTGTTGGGAATACTCTAAAACATGTCACAGACTCTGCCTCACACTGACAACACCAAACCAAAACACTGCATAAATACACCATATATATTTAATGATATGTACTTCCATATCAATGCATTTTTTTTCCACAATGATTTTTCTCCCACACTGTTTTCATTTGATCACTGCTGCACTTTAAGAAATGGAAATGTCATGAAAGCTGTACAAAACAAAATTTCGTTTTGTATACACTGTGTTTACAAAATGACAATAAGGAAAATGTTTACTCAAAGAAATGGCCAGGGGCATAAGAGTTACCAGACTGAAGAAATGATTAAGGAGACTAACAGAGGGTAAAAATTCTGAAAATGTATGCATTATTTCCTTCCTATTCAGAAAATGGTCCTTGTATGTGTTTGACTAAAACATAGAAGTTGCAGTTTAACACAATTAATTTTGTGAATGAAATGATATTAACTGTGAGATAAGGGTATAAATAATTGTTTTGTTTATAATGGAAGTTTAAAAAACAGCACAAGACCCAACAATGCTGAAGCATGTTATAGTAGAAAAAAAACTAGATGCCATAACAAAAGTATAGAGAGCATTAGAATTCAGGTTTACTTCTGGATCTTCAAATGTAAATCAGGTAAATGTAGATTAATTTTAGCCTCATTTTCTTTATTTTTTATGACATGACAGTGGTTGTAGAAGCCTTATCCAATTTATTAATCCATTAAAATATATTAATTACAAAAAAGTTACGATGAAGATGTGAAAAAGATGCTGTCGGATTGGTCTGGCTGGTGGACTTCTGTTTGCAAACTTTATGCATTAATGTTGCTCTTCTAAATGATATACTGCATCACTCATTTTATCGTTTAGATATTAGGCATTTACTATAGGTAGCAGTAGAATATCCATCCATTTTCTTTCACGCTTATCCCAAGCGGGGGTCACAAGGGGTGCTGGTGTCTATCGCCAGCTGTCTTCAGGGGGAAAAGCCAACACAGAGACAAACAGGACAAACAACCATTCGATCACACACTCACACTTAAAGAGAGTTTAGAGCAGTGGTCTTCAACGTTTTCTAGGCCAAGGATGATGGCGAGATGGAGCGGGGACCCCCTAATTATATATATTGTATGAAATTGTGTTATATCGAACTGGTCCTTAATCACTCTATTACAGATGGAGTCATGTAACGAAAATAATTTGGCTCTTGGATTATTAAAGTATTTTTGATTCTGATTCCTGGTTGATGGGACAGGTGTTGAGAACAAAACGGTGCCCAGCTTGAAAGAGCTCCTGTGTGTCGCTGAATGTGTGCATTGATGACTGAAAGACATCTTCTACCTCCATTCATCTGTTAACTACAGAGTGTAAAATTCATAATAATGTGTATTTAAAGACATTTCAGTTAGTGGAAAAAATTGCACGGGGGACTATAAAAAAAGTCTAATCAACCAAAACTTTTGCAAACCTCGTGCAGTACCTCCGCATACCCCCTGGCGGTTCCAGACTCCCGGTTGAAGACCTCCGGTTTAGAGAAGCCAATTAAAATAACACTAATGTTTTGGGACTCTGGGAGGAAGCCGGAGTACCCAGAGGGAACCCATGCATGCTCAGGGAGAACATGCAAACTCCATGCAGAAAGACCATGGGCTGGAATTCAAACCCAGAACCTTCTTGCTGCAAGGCAGTAGTGCTACCCACTGCACCCACTGAGCAGCCCTCTAATAGTGTAAGTAGAATATCACTTGCACTATTTCATTTGCATCTCTAGTATGATTAAAATACAATAAATAAGCAACATGTTCATTTTATACAGCAGCATTAATACCCATTACTTTCTTGCATTATTTAGTCTGACTGGTTATCTTTACAGCATTGCTCTCAGCTGGTGTTCCCATCTGATGTCTTACAGTCATCAGCAGCCAGTTGCAGAGTTTGATACAACTGGGGTCCATAACTCTCAAGGCAAGTACTTTTAAACATGCCAGACAGGTTTGGCTCTCTCCCCACAATCAGATCAATATCACATTGTGTCTCATTGCATCAGAAATCAAGTGAGGCAGCACAGTGAGCATTCAGACACTCCAGTTAAAAGGTCACAGATGGCCTTACCAACTTCTCAACCAAAGTGAAACCAGTCTTATACTTCTTCCATCCCTCTTTCATCCTTGTTGTTATTCCCTCCTCACTTATCCTGATTAAACCTGAAACTCCCATTGAGGGACTGTGATTTCTCAGCCTTGACTGTTACTGTAGTGAAGTCAGTGTTGCGCGTCAGTTACATACAGCCTGTGAAACCTCCTGGCTGATAAATGAAATTTGACACATCTACAAGATCTTAGAATAAGGACATGTTTCCCCCCCCATACTACACATTGTAGCATGAAAAGCTCTTATATTAGACTTTATTTCACAAATTAGATCTATAGTGAAAGTTAATTTCACCTTTCACACTTTGCAGAAAAAGTTTTTAAAAGTTTTGAAGCACAAGACTTTACAACATAGAACCATGCAGCAATCAAAAGAAGATAAACTCCTGACAATACACCATACTTGAATACTGAGCAAGGTGGGTAATGGAATTGAAGTGGCTTATCCCAAAATTTGGCACCTGACTAAATCACTAACTTCAACCTTGTAGGGTTCTGTTAATGATTGAAGATCTTAGTAAAAACTGATTTTTTTTTTTTTTTTTTACAAAACTTGTTAATTGTTTGCTTTATTAACTAAAAGCCCACATATGTTATGACTTATCCACTCTTTTAAAAGTTTTTTTCTTTCCCAGCAGCATGGCATGATTGAGACTTTCTTTTAAGAATGCACACTACAGTTAAGAAAGTTGTAGGATATTTTTTCTAATTAAATATCATTACTGCCAGTCATGAAAAATACTATTAGAGCTTAAGAAGTTGTTTGATTGAGCTCTAAAAGACATTGCTCTCTGCATCCATTGCTGCACACTCCCAGCTCTTCAAGAACAAAGAACTGGGTTGTCAAATTTCCTTCTCAACAAAATATAAACTAATTCAGTCAGAAGAAAACCTTCCCTTAACTTGAGCTGAACATGAAACCCTACAAAACATAATTTCTGAATTAATACACTTGATCCAATGTCAGTTCAGTGAGGTAAGTAAATTACATGACCTGGGGCGATTTCTTTTGGATGAATGGAGTCCTTTTTTACCCTCCTTTGGAAAACTTATCCCCAGGGACAAGGAATTTCAGGAGGGTTTCCCCTTTTAAGTATACATACACTGGTAAACTTAAAGGTGAAAGGTAATTTGCAACTTCCCATCCTGGGCAGTGTTGTTTAAACCAACTCAAATGCAACCTTTGAGACAATTTCTAATAAGTATTTTTTTAGCGTGGCTTTGAGCCTAGAAAAAAAATGAACCCTAACTGCTTTAAACTTTTTAATAACTTCAAAAAAAATAAAAACGTACCGTTTGGCTCCTTTATATTTGAAAGTTGAAACTTGCTGACATCACTGGACTCTGCTTCGGTGCCATATTGTTGGAGAAGCGATGCAAGAAGGATTAATAATGAAAGGATCATTTGGATGAGTGGAAGTTGGCGATCACAAAGCTGGACTCTGGTCTGGATCACCACAAACATGCGTCATTTACGGGAAACAAATGCTGTTTTGGACACATTTGGAGAAAATAAGCGATGACTAAAATCCACATAGTCTTTATCATAAGTTATTCTTCATATCTAAAAACAAAAATAAGGATAAGGAAAAATGAAACCTCTCCAAGGCTTCAAAACTTGTTGTGCAGCGCGAGTGCGCACCTGTTGGCTCTGGCGAACTTAGAATATTTGTGCTGAAGAGAATTTAAGCAATTGAATCCCGGAAAATCGCCTTTATGCAAGCATTTCTTCTAAGGTACTGGATGATCAAAAATACACAGATGCATTTCAGTGCAAATGCGCGCTCAGGGTGCCTTCTACTCCCCGTCATAGAAATCCCAGCAGATCTTTACGCATTAGACCCAAAGCGCTCACACAGACAGCCTGTGAGGAAGTCCAGCAACCTGATACAGTCCAACAGGAGAAAAGTATCCGCACCACTGAGACGAGATCTGTTGTCTGGCGGAGTCAAGAGTCATAACTCGTAGACTGAGATAAAATATCGCTGCGCGGACGGGGTTGGGTTTTTGGCGAGTGGCAACTGACGGCACAACAGGTGCTGCGCATAAAGCACAACTTTCCAGTCAAGGAAACTCCCCTGGATGTTAACTATTACGCTGCTGTGTGGTTTTATGAGGTTCTTTGCATTGCCACTCTGTCATCCAGAGACTAACTATCATCATTTTGAAGTTCCAGGATTTAAACAGGGCAGAGCCTTATTGTCATCAGACTGAATCTCTCTTCTAATTGCTTTAATTTTTTTGTTTTTGTTTTGTTTTTAGAATATAAAAAGAATATAAAATCTCTTTATTGCCCAATAAGTGGCAAAATGTGGGGTTACAGCAGTAAAATATTATAGTATACATTGTTCTTATCTTTCTTAACTCTTTAAATGTGAAATGTGAAAGCCCTTTGGGAAACTCCAACTCCCATTGTATTGTCTTTAAAGCCAATTGTATCATAATTGATACATAGGTTTTTGAGACCTCTACATCATCAGTGTTATATTTTTATTCTTCAAAACCCTGACTTGCACAATAAGTTGCTTGTAGGGAACAGAAAACGTTTAAAAGATTATCGAGAAATGCCTTATGTATCAAATTTGATGCAAATAAATGATCTAATATAACTTATACCAACTTTCTTTTTTGATGTCATTTATCAGAAAATTTAATGACAACTCTAATAAAGTGTCAATTATTTGATGGTCAAGGCTTTAAAGGGTTGAAACACCTTTTTGATCGAAATAAACAAATGGTTCTTTAAAATAACGTAAACACAGACAATTTATGGTGTTTAACTGACACATTTCCTACTAGTGTTTCAATTAGTTGACCCATTGTGTCATGGTTTAACAAATCTGGAACATTGAGTCCTTCAATGAAATAACAGACCAATGACTTTTTTAGGCAAAGTTGTCAAAAAAACAACTTTATTTTTTAACTATTGTTTCTAACCTTAACATTTTACTTTAACCTCCCACCACAGAGGATTTAAGAGGAAAAAAACATCCACTTGAAGGCTAATTTCACTTATCCTCAATGTTTCGGTGGAAGGAAATGTTAAAGGACTTCTCAATTTGTTTTATCAAAGCAGAAACGCTGCTTGGAACAATACTCCCTCCTGTTCCTAATTTCCTTTTCTTTCCAGCACAGCGCAGTACCTCATCAACTATGTTTCATGTGGTTCCTCCTACCCCATTGTTGGCTAAATCCACCAGTGTATCCCCACGCTGTAGGTCAAATCTGCTGCGGCACAGACACAACAATCAAAGGAGTTCTGGAGACATATTGAACCAATTGAGTTTGACGCATGATGCAATGCTGCAGCAATTTACCCCCAGTCTCGCATGGCTCAGAAACTACCACCTCAAAGAAAGCACAGAGCAGTCCTATCTGTGGCATGAAGGTTTGGAGGAGTTTTTGTGTTTCTAATCAAAGTAAACTGCTTGAAGAAAATAGGTATGGCACATTGCTGCAGTCATTTCATAATTGTGTTGCCCTTGTGGAGGGATGGGGGATTTGAGGTGGTGGGGGTATTCATCTGCTTACTCCAAGGGCCGAGGCCCTTTGTGTAAAGGAGAGTATCACATTCCATCCCTGCAAGAGCCTGCAGCAGATGTCAGCACTTCACATTCGAATCCCTCTCTTTTGCACACACACGTATGCACACACACTTCTTCACCCCATGAGGTTTGGTCTGTAAAAGCTGAGTATTTTGTCTCTTTTTCCATGTTTGATCACCACTTCCACGGTGGTCTTGCAAAATGTGGAGGCTTTGATACAAATAAATACAATAAACAGAGGGAATTAGGAACAAGGTAAACCATTTGGGTCTCAGAGACACAGAGACATGCTGACTGGTGGGATGGGTCTCTGAGTGTATGCAATAGAGAAATCAGTTATCAGCTCACTGATGAACATTCATTTCTCTGGGTATTTCTTCTGCCAAATCTGCAAATATGTTCTTTCAATCATTTCTAACAACATTGAAAAATATTAAATGAAATGTATGTTTTGATTGAAGGACAGCAAAATAATGATGACTGTTCATCAAAAGCATTAAAAAACATTACAATCTGAGTGGAAATATGTATATAGTATGTTTACTTAATTTAGATAGTTGTTTTATTCCAACAAATTCCTTGTCTGCAGATTGACGTCTAAGAAGCTTGTTTCAATAAAGAGGGGCAGATAAAAGTGTTTTTTATTATTATTCCAGGTTTAACTGTAAGTATGCTGTCTTTTTATTATGTTAGTAAAACTCTGATGAGTTCCCTTGCTTGTGCGTGAAAGATAGAAAACATGCCCACATTGTAATCAATTGCCCCAAGGTGCACTTGGCTTTGAAGCCAGAGCCCCCTGGTGGTGCCCCTTAGGGCTACAGATGAGCACCAGCCTTAGGATCAAATATCTTCCTCCTCTAAATCTGGTGGAAAAGGTACATTTGTCTTTTAAAAAGAACATATTAAAGTGTTTTCTTGACAAAATTTCTTTTAAAACATTTGTCATATAAATTATATTGATGTATTATCTTAAAAAATTAAGAACATGACCCAATTATACAAATCGGTTACGTTTATTTTCCACATTTTTATTTGTTATCATCTCAAAGTTGTTCAAGATTTAAATGACTGGTTAAATATCTGTATTTGTTGCACATCTTTTTGTGTGCTTTGTCTGATGTTCTCGTTGGTGAATCTCTAAGAAGCTCTGGAAGGCTTGAGTTTCTTTTTTAGTGTTTCTTAAACTTTTTAATTATATATATATATTTTTTTGAACCTCTGAATTTTTTACAATAAAACACCTGCATCTCTAATGTAAAGTTAAACCTTTAATTGCCGTACATTACATTGTGAATTTTTTTTCTTTTTTTCCCATGTAGATCACTTTCTTATTTGAGTTGTTTAAACACCAATAAATCAGTAGGAGACAGACCAGAAAGTCATTAAAAATAAATTAAGCTTTTGGCTACATTTAATAAGTTTAATTAATAGCAGAAATCTTGTTCAGATAATCTTTTGGCTTCTTCAGAAGTATGGTGGCATCATAATGTGTGACACTTTAAGAATTATATTTCTTAGGGAGGAATTTTAATCAATTCCGAATCATTAAACATTAGAACATCAAGAATTATTCTCAATGGAATTGCATGTAATTTAGATCCTACTGAAAGAGTTCTTAGCCATCCATGTTCATTTTTTGGAGTGATACATGTCAAATAGAAATTAACATGAATGACTGGACTACAGTTTTTTCCAGATACTTGCCACTGACTCCTCCTGCCTTACCTCTATCCCATCACACATTCTTCTCCCTTACAATCCCCAAAGTTCTCCTATCAATGTGATATAAAAGAATATATGAATCATCAGACATGACCAACTGTTTATGCCTGACCTATGAATATAAAGATAAATATTGATTTAACACATTAATGCAAAATAAGTTGGACTGATTCAGCACAATTTAAGTTTTTCGATACTTTTATATCAGTTTTATGGAATCCCCTAAACTCATACTGTCCAAAAACATGACATGTTAGGTTAATTGGTTTCTCTAAAATTGTCCATAGGTGTGAGTGTGTGTGAATGGTTGTTTGTCTCTGTGTTGCCCTGCGATGGACTGGAGACCTGTTCAGGGTGTACCCCGCCACTCACCCATAGACAACTGGAGGTGGGCACCAGCACCCCTCGCGACCCCGCTTTGTATGTGTAAGTGTGACAGAAAATGGATCGATGGATAAAATCCCCTAAATCACATTCAGAAAAGATAAACTATTACTTTGAGCCATCCTTTTTATCCATATCAGGTTGTGTGGAAGTTTTTAGAGGACCCAAATGCAGAGACGGAAGCTGAGGTGGTTTCTTGGACATTTAATAAGCAAAATGTGGCAACCGAAGTAAAGGTCCACAAACAAAATACAGAAAACCACAATCCAGGAGAAATCAGGGAAAACACAGTAGGAGCAAGAAGATGACAAGGAACCAGCAAACAGTAACTGAAGAGGAGGAGTATATATACTGTACCAAACACAACACAGACTGGGGTAATCAACTGATTGGGAGCAGGTGTGGACAGAAGAATCTAGAAGGGAGCTAGGGGAAGGAGACTGACACAAGGGGGCAACAGTGAAAATGAAAACTTAAAAAGAAAACTTAAACAGAACCAAAAAGCGCAGAATCATAACAATGTATTTTGTCGTCCATTCAACCACTGTAAACCTAAGCTAGTGGTTCTCTTCATATGTACGTTAATGTTCTATTGTTAATATGTACAACAAACTTAAGATGGTGAACAAATTCAAACTTAATCCAGAGAATAGATGAGTGGTACCTATTAATACTCTAGAATAAAGATGTTGAAGACAAGTTATTGCTTGCTTGCACAAGCTAGATTTTTGGGTCTATGCAATCTTTATTTTCTGTCCTCAACAATATCCTACCAATTAGAACATTTATTTATTTATTTATTTATTTATTTTTTTGGACCACTGCCTCCAAAGTTTTGGTTATTGTTGTCCTTATAAGATTAGCTGATGAAGACCAGCTTCCATTAAATTAATCTGTTCATTTAATGATTTAAATGTTTAATATATTGCACTGCCAGACTTTCAGCATAATAATGAACCTGCACATTTGATTCAATCAAGTTCTAACCTCTGTATGTAATACTGAACAAAAAATTAGGTTCTTTTTGTTGTTGTTGTTGCTTTTGCAGTACCATAAGTTGTGCCTTAATAAGTTTGATCACAATAAAATGTCTATATATCAGCACTTAATTTAAACTTTTATAAGCTGATTTTGTATGTCCAAAACAGGTGCATCTATACTTGTAAAATAGAAGAACAAATAGCTTTGTCTGAGATACATTTTTAAATACCATGTATGATACGAATTTGGTTGGGATTACAGTATACAAGACCAACAGGACAAGGGAAAATTAGACTGTAAGCCTTTTATAGGGAAACCATTACAATATTTACGATGCATATAACAGGACTTGTGTTCCTTTGTTGTAAAATCATGATACTTATTTGATTACCAGCTGATGATTCACAATTCTCAAATGTCCCTCATCTCCGGCTTCCCAGCTCTTTTGGGTGGCCAATAAAGTAGCCCAGAATCCACTGGGCTGAATGTTGTAAAAGATTTCACCAAGGGCTGTGTTTCAGGACAATCTTCTATTATGTACTTTACTGTTAAACTTCTACAGTAAAGACCATGAAGTTATATTTCTTTGAAATAAAGATCTTTAATTTAGGTGCTCAAGATCTGGCATTCTGGGACTTTTAGATATGCTCCTGGTTTAACACAAATGAATCAGATGACTGAATTACCTCATCAGAATGCAGTCAGATTCCTTAGAGGTAGGTTCAAGCAGAAGCACATCTAAAAGTCAAAGGACAACAGACTTTGAGGATGGGAACTGAAGGCATACATGACAAAGAGCATTTTAAATACTAACATTCTGGGTAGGTTTGAAATAAAATTCGCTACAGGGAAACTAAGAGAGTGCATCACATGGAGTAGGTTCTCTGAATTTCCAAAATATATGATTAGAAATTCTTCATCTAAATCCCAGGACCCAAATCCTTTAGAAAATGAATCAGCTGAATTGAAGAGATTAAATCATTTTAGAGGACCCAAAACTCAGGAAGATGGGGAGATAAACAGAGAAAGAAACATAATGACATAACATAATAATACTTCAGAATAACATATAGCACTTCAATAATCAAGATTATTATGCAGTACTGAACAGAGGCAACAATAATTTTATGATGAGGTATTTGTTGGATTTTGTTGTAAATTTTTATTTTACTATCATTAAACCTTCACTTCTAAAATAAAGTGAAGACTCATTCTCTTCTAAAATGAAAACAGACACAATCCTAAACCGCTCATCACTTTGATTTTTTTTTTTTTTTTGATGACACCAGTAAGTCTCCAGTAGTAAGTAGTAGCAGACGAGGGATTTGCATGCCAGATCATATTACAGATTGCATCAATTCCGTCTGACACATTCCTGGATCTGCACCCTGTTGTGCATCACACCCAGGTTTAAAAGCCATAAAATGCTTTGGGGGGTTTTTGAGCAGCACAAAAGAATCTCTGTGCTGAACTGATTGCATCTCTACTGCAAAAACAGCAACATGGCCTGGGTTATAAATTATTTATTGTGTGGATTTGATTAACTTGTAAATGAAACGGATGGTTTTAAAAATGGGAGGAGGTTGAGGGGAATAACAAATGGGAAATATTTGAACTTTAGGTGAACAGTTATGGGTGGGGCAGTCCTGCTGTGTGCTCACTGTATACGCATCATTGTCTCGTCTCCTTTCCATCTGAGATTTATTCAAATACAGTAAGATGTTCTATTAATCATAATCTATTTAGCTTTGCTCATTAAATAATCTTTATAAGCAATATCCAAAATTACTTACTGGATATACAAATCAGTAATATAAGAGGTTTTAGCAAATATGTGGGATTTTTATATCTTTTTGCTTCAAAAAGGAAGATAAGTAATAATTTTTTTCATTTTTAATGTAAAGTCACCATGGTATACAGAATATACCTCTCCATTTCAACCAGGAAATGCATTTAATGGACAGACTAAGAACACAGAGATGTATCCTCTCTACCAGTTCATAATAGTGATGTGTTCAGGGTGGTATGGAGCAACAGATTTAACATGTAGGGAAATATTTCACTTTAATCATCATGTCACATGAGTGTCTTTTTCCAAGTGTTTGCTATGGAAGTAATCACATATGTTCTTTTTACGACTCTTATATGAAGAGAAGATACCGAACTAATATTTTCCTGTTAAGAGACAGTTAGGAAAATTGATGATGTGTGAGTTTATTATACCCTAACATTACCTGCCTGTTGTGTGTCAGCGCCAATGTTTTACCCAGATCTTCTGTCCGGATATACAGTTATCATCTTCATTCTGTACATGGTAAAGATTAAGGAATGGAATGAGAGCGGTGTCCTTCAGCTAAGAACAAAGTGTAATATTTTGATAAGGCAGGAGCCATCGATGTGTTCTCATCTGCAAATGTCTATGATGTAATGATGTGGCATACCGGAGTTGTATAAAATGCTTCTTTAACTGTGAATCATTAGAACTAAGCAGCTGCCTTCTGTAGCCCTAAGCAACTGGTCTGATCTGAGTAAGGCTACAATTTCTATCAGAATCTGTTGTTACGTCTCATGGTTATTTAATACATATATGAAGTGTTATTTAAAGAGTTTGTCCCGAGGGATCTCTTTTCAGGAAAAAGAACGGAAGAGAGAAAGCTTTTAGGTGTAGACACAGTGCTTTGTTTTAACAGATTATTCAGCTTAATTTATGGATCCTCCAAAGTTTGCATTGCCAGGCCATTTTTGGTGTTGTTCCACACTGAGAGTTTACTTTGCAAATGAGGGATTAGAAAGTGATCTATTCAATTTAGAATCTAGAAATATTGTTTTAGGTAAACAACTTACAGAAAGGTTGACTTTATCTTCATTTGGGTGACTGCTAAAGGCGAGTTTGTATTTGATTATGTTTAGGTGTACAAAACCACGAAGGAGAGATTAAATGAAACAATATTTTTACTTTAGCCGTGGATACGTTTAAACATGTCACCTTTTCCTTTTTTTTTTTATCTTCACAGTTATAAATGTGGAAACACTCCCTAAAACACAATGAAGTTTGTGATTTTATTTTTTAATATTTACTATATATATACAACATAAATCTGATATTTGGTCAGACAATTTTAGAGATATTTCTTTTAAATTCCCTATATATTTTACAAATGTTTTCTGATTTTCTCCACTCTGCCGGACATGGGCGGTTCTAGATAGGGGCCAAGTGCCCTTGTAGATCATGTCCTGGCCCCTAAGAGAAATTCTAATGATGATATGGACTGGAGCAGACATGGTTTCTGATAGGTCCTTTGGATCTATTTCATTTTTTTCTGAAAAAAATATTTTTTACTAATTATTTTAAAACAATGAGGTGATATCTTCTCTTCAGTGATATTGAGATAGGATCCCAGTTTTTCATCTGTTGTTTAAAAAAACAAAAAACAAATAAAAAAATACTCTAACTCTAACAGCTGAATTTATCAGTTTTCTTGAGTTCTAATTCAGATTTTATAGAACACTATAATTTTAACATAAAGTAAAAAAATATAATTCCTAAATGATAAATGTATATTGACCTAATATTCCAAATAATAGCCTTATTTGATCTTTTTTTATATATATATTTAGATAGCTACAATTTCTAGAGTTGCTTTTTTTCTATGCTAAGGGACTTTTATTTTGATTTGATCTATAATCCAAATAAACATTTTTTAACCAAAAATAAATATTTTCAGTTAGAAGACATAGAATTTTAATTAAACCTTATTGAAGAAATTTCACTTCATGCAGCTGTTTTATTATATTTGAATACCTTGCCCGTTTTTTTTTTTGTTTTTTTTTGTTTTTTGCTTCATGCTTTTCTGTGGCCCCATGAAAACACGCCCCTCCCCGACCCCTGGAACATTTGGTCTAGAACCGCCACTGCTGCTGGATGAGAGCTCAGATCTGATGAATGAACCGGGGCAGCATCCACGTTTTACGATCTAGTAAAAAGTCCGTGCACTCGATCACGTCTGCGTGTCTCACACGGTCTCACAGAGAAGCCACCATAAACAGTGAGGCATCATGCGTGTGACAGCATTTCCCTTCAGCAGCCGTGACGCCAGGAGGCGGGGGCGGCTGTCCGTGGTGCTGATGGCAGAGACGCTCTCCAGCTCCACGCTGCCGCTACTGCGCATGTTGCATGACAGGTACACGCAAGCCTCCATCTTGAGCATTCCGAGCTGAGGCAAAAGGGCAGCAGCCATATACGCTGATTCCAAAATAAAAACAAGCTGGTTAAAAAAAAAGAGAGAGAGAGAGAGAAAAAAAAGAAAATAAATAAAAAAGAAAGAAATTTGGCATTTTGCCGAGATGTAACTTTTCCTTCCAATATCCGCTCAACAATTTGCTTCTCAGATCCGAGCGGAGAAGAGGATGGGAAAGGAAAACAGCGACTGGGCTGCAAGCCTCTGATAGGGATTTTTTTCAGTCAGCTATTCTGGATTTATATTTTTGAATAAGTGACAGCATCATCCCCAGACGGTGAGTGCAGCTGTGCATGGCCAGTGATGAACGACTTTTTTGTGTTTGTGTTTTATATGTGTTCATAGCATGAAGTGAAATCTGTTTATTCCCCACTCCCATCCGTGTGCTCCCCTGAAGCTCAGAGCGTCTTTCTTACTTCCAGTTGTTAGAAAAGAACACCTAGAGAGGTGCAGCTACAGGTTGGAGGATCCCTGGGCTGCTTGTCTTTTTTGGGTATTTGTTTATATGAATATAAGCAGAGGACGAGCAGGCCTATGGCCAGGGTCTTATGTACATTTGAATTGCTATAATACTACAGTAAAGGCCTATTATCTTGTAAAAAAAAAAAAAAAAATTAATTTTATTGAATTGTATATATGTTACAAAAATTAACAACAGCATTATTTGAAGACAAGAGCTGAACATGACTAAAACGCCACTGGGTAGGCAATGTGAGTCACAGTGTGACACTACCTCTCTGTATGTTAGTAATATTGCTACTGGTAAAAGAGAACTGGGCAAATCTTAGTAATAATGAAACAATGTTGGCTAGGCCTGCGCCATTGTTGATTAAAGTCCCTTTAATCTATTTATATTTCTACACTGGGGAGTTTTATATGTTTATGATGGTTTCTTCTGAGTTTTAAATCCCCAATGAAGGTCTTTTTGTGTTGAGTTTTTATGTTCACCTCCTGCCTTTTTTCAAAGCATCCATTTTATGTTAATTGGAAGTCCTCATTTGCTCTTAGGCAGTCTTTCGATCTTAGAGTTACTCTTTGATTGACAGGTGATATATGCACAAGGCCTATATGACCTTGCATGGATAAGTGAATATAGACCATAGGCAGATGCGTTCTAAAATTTCTGATTCTAGTGTAAGTTTGCCCTGCAACCTCCGGGAGGGCTTCTAGTTAGTTCCTTTCCTTTTGCTCTTTGAGAACTAGAAGAGACTCTATTTCCCTGAGAAACTGAATGAATGTAATATCAATCAACCACATCTGATAGTGAAAACAAATTTCACAAATATGCACAACACAAAAATCAAAGCAGTATCTCAGATCCATCACAGTTAGACAGTGGTGGTTTATATACCCTGATCATTTTCTAATTTCTGATATAGTTATTCATGTTCTGCATATAACACTAAAATCATTCCCTACACATTTTTGATAAACATTTTCTCTTGTTTTAATTTATGTTTATCTAAGGATTTCAAGACAATCTTTTAATGTTTTTAATTTTGTTAAATTGTATTTTTTTTTATCTACATTCTATTTACCTTAATGGAATTTACCTTAAGTTTATTTGTTTTCAAAGGTTATTTTATTTAAAAGAATAATAATAAAAAAAAAATCTTACAGTGTTTAGCATTTTGCACTGTGTCTTATTGGGCCCTTAATTGGTAGATATTGAAGTGGAATTTTATGCAGCTTCTAAGACTCTTAGTGGTCACCAATAATCTTTTTGTCAATAATCTTGGCACAACGACTGAGGGAGTCTGATTTGGGGCCCTCAGAGTGTCCTTTTCGCTTTTTTGCAGATTGTTTGACTCTGTTCTGGCTGCACTTTGCAGTTAAATATAGAGTACCCTCTATCAAGGTAGACATTTTTTTCTGGTTCACCCTCTAAGTCTGGCTGTCCTACCAGAGGAATTCAAGTATCTTGGTGTCTTGTCAATGAGTGGTGGTGAGAGGAACAGATGGGCAGAAATACTGGACTATGATCTTATGTAATGCAGATGTCGCTGTTATGTTTCATATGGTACCACATTTGCTAAAGAGAAAACATCTTGGTGAAACTATCCATCTACTTCTCAGTGGACAGTTGCAAGATAGGTTTCATGACCCAAAGAACAAGAGCTCAAAAAGAGGCAAATAAAATTACTGTCCCCCAGGATGTGACTCAACCTTAGATAAGACAAGGAGCCTCTTTATCAAGGAGAATATTCTGTTTTATTAAACTTCTGCTTATTTGTGCTAAAATGATCCAGTTGAAGTGGCTTGGGCTTCAGATCAAATTTTTTGGGGAACACTCTGGAGACCCCAGGGCAAACCTAGAAGATGCTGAAGGGAAATAAATATATATATCTTCTTGTCCCTTTGATGCCTTTTGGGGAAGTACAGGTATTTAATTGCTGACCTGTTAACCCATGGCCTGATATCAGATACTGAAAGTGAAAGAGGTGATGAATTGACAGATGACAGAATTGAATTAAACCTATAAAATCCTCTGACAGTAATGTTATAAACTCACAGCCATACTCCTTGTTTTGTTTGAAAAACTGTTGCAAAAGGTCTGAAACTTTAGTCGTTATTGTAAAGAAAAGGAATGAATTAAGGTTATGCTGGATAAAGTTTGTAAATTATTATCTGAAGTGCCATGTCCAACAATGACAAACTGCTAGTTGCTGCCATAATAGAGTTTTGTTTTGATTTGTCAACCTGTTAAAGTGTTGTTCACTAAATCCAGTCGACAGGATGTGTTTAAATGCAGAGTAAAGAAGCTGAGCAGATTTGAGGACAGCCTTTCTCTATTAGAAACTAATAATCCATTGCAGGCCAGGAACAGACAGGGAGTTATAGGGCCAAGGCAGCCAAGAGGAAAGAGTATGTCTCTGTCTAGACACTAAACTGCCTCAGTTAATATACAAGCTTGCTGGCAGAGTGTATGTTTGGGTTTGGAGGAGAGACTGCTGGCTTTACTGTTTGTCTCCAGAGTGGCTATGCAATACGAGGGCACAGCTTTCTAATATGCAGCATGAATCACAGGTACCATGGTTGCTCGGTGATTAATGGCTTCTATGTAGGAAAGGAATCCCTGTGCATACATGGAAGCATTTGTGTGTGCATCCTCATTTGTGGTTTTGTCTTTTGTAATTGTAAGACCATACCCATGTACATCCATTTAAGGCACATTTAAGCTTTGTTTCATAATGATTATAAATCGAAATTAAGATAAAGGTCAGATGTGAATGTGTGTGATCTAAATGGGAAAATGTTAATGCATCATGATCAAGTAAGTAAAATAACTTCATTTATTTATTTTGCCAAAAGTCGTGCATAAGTGATTATCAATCTATATCTTTCTTGTGATTTAACTGTTTTAACCTCCACAGGCTTCACTCACACCACAATGGAGAAGACAAAGTTTGCCATATTCCTTTTGGTCATCTTTCTTTGTCTAGAGGGAGGATCAGCCAAAGACAAAGGAGCCAAGAAGGGAAAAAAGAAAGGAAAGCAGGTTTATTGTCCATCGTGAGTATACAAAACACAACACATCTATCATTCTGTGCGCGGTAACATCCATATACTGTATGCCTCTTGGCATGTATTATTCATTTAGGCTGATAACAGCAACACTTTCCTGCTCTAGACGAACAAAACAATAACATTTTTATTTGTGCACACTTGAGGTCAGAAATCATATAATAGAAATAGACTCAAGTTGCTTGTCACTGGATTTTTGTTGTTGTTTTATTTTAAGTCCAGATGATCCTGTTCAACTTCCTCTTTATCTGCTTTTTTTCCTCTGGCAAACATTTTTAAAGGTAATATTTGAATATTTACTTTCAATAAGTGACTGAATTTTATTTTGGTATGCCAGTTTCTCCTGCCCTTTAGATGTTGTTTGAGATTCACACATATGTCTTGGAGCTCTGTGTCTAAGTTACAAGGATGGACTTTGATTGACCTTCTGATTGGTTGATTAATACAAAAACCTCTAACTCGCAGGGAAATCGTAACCAATTAGAGATATCACATGGGAGCTAAGATCAGAAGTACACACATTTGTTTGTCTTGTGCCACTCACCTTTGAAATGCATACAGTATGTTTAAGCATACAAAAAAAAAAAAAAAAGTGCAACAGGAGTGCTGAAAAATCAAAAGTCAGTAAGGGAACAGATGTGATAAAACCTTTTTTATTTTGAATTATATTTGCACAGCATCTATACATGTTTCCGGCAGGGAGTGCATTCTCAGAACCTCCAGTATCCGTTAGGTCAGATATCGTTGCTTGACATGCAGGTTTGGCTTGTAGTCTCCAGGTAAATATAATCCACAGGTCTTTTGGATTGAGGTCAAGGTTCTACCAGAACAGTGAAAACTTAAGAATCTTTATAACAGAAAAAAATTTGTCTCACCCCAATAAAATAATTTCACACCATAATCTGCCTTACTTTACACTTGGTATAACTCAATCAGCAAGTATCATTTCATTAAGGATCTCTAAACCCAAACTACCCAAAATGGCATATTGCCTTAGAATGATTCACTCCCCCTATGAATAAAGAAGTGTTTTGGACACCAGTGTTTAATGAATAACAAATTTGCGATAGAAGCTATTAGGCTTCCGCATTGCTGTTTCTGACAATTTGAGACTTTCTGCATGTCTTAAAATATGTCTTGTTTGAGAAGGAGAAAAGGGGAATTTAGGCCACTAAATTCAAGATGATTAATAAAGAGGATTTTGACAAAGTAAGTTGTTGTGCAAACATCTTTGAAAGATGCTAAGGGTTCTTGAAAATGGGTTGAAAAGATTTCTGGTCTGCTTATTTTGCTGCCTTCCATGTTTAAAGGCTGCGGCTTCTTTTGCTAACATAAAGTACCAAATGCTGCAACCCTGGAAACTCTCATATGATTGGCTCAGGAACCTAGACGTAAACATAGGCTACACACTGCATTGAAGTAATTTTGCTACATAACTCTAGGTTCAGAAAAAAAAAGAAACTATCATTAGGAGCTACCATCGCAAATAATGATAGTTCCATCAAAGCTGACAAACGAGAAAGATTATGATTATTTTTTTCAGTAAATGCATGTCTTATCACTTCTAAAAAAACAAACTAGCACATCTCCTGTTATTTTCCCCAAAAAATAAAAAAATAAATACAAATTTTATTCTGTGTGTCGTTTTACACCAATAAACTTTGATTTATATTTACCTCATTGGAAATATTTTTCCTCTATTCACCATGGCAGTAAATTTCATGTTTTTCAAGCACTTGGTAAACCAGATAGTTATTTAAAAGGCTGTTATTGTTGATTTACTCTAATCCACACAGCATCAAAATTGTACTTACATGCATAGTGTGCATATAGAGAGGGCTCACATTTTTTCTACATATTATTCTTGAATCTTTTATCGGACAACACTGGGGATAGCACATACAACTGTAAATTTGATGACTCCTTAAAAATAGCAATACAAAGTGTGTTCTTACAGAAAATGTAAAATGTTTTTTTTTTTTACTTCTGGCAGGGAGAAGGATAAATATGTTTCTAGACATAACAGTTGTTACCTTAAAATTTAGTAAGGGGCATTTGATACAAAAAATATCACTGGGGATGTAGACATACTCCACCTGTCACTGAAGATGTTTAGGGTTATGTTATTCTACCTCAAGGAAATAACTGTTTAAATGCATAGCTTGCAAATTATTGTACCTTTTATGTTGTTGATGAGCCCATATAAACCTCTGGCCCTAAATGTAAACACTGCTGTAAACATAAATAACCGGGACAGTTCTTCAATTACATGTGGTAGTCTTCTGACCAACATGCAGAATGATACTAGGAACACAGAGAATGGTAGGCAAGGTTGTTTATTTACAGAGATTTCAATAATAAGTGAGTTTGACAGAAGGGGAATTCTGGGTCCAGAGTTTTAGCAACATCTGTAGTGGAGGGAAGAATTTTTGGCCAGAGTTTATCGATGGAGCAAATATTGAAGGAAGGATTGTAGAGAGTGGCTCACTGCCAGAAGCTGGATGTAAAGGGTTGAGGGGGGAGGAGGTCCCAGTGAGATGTATGGCGAGAGATGTTCCTGCAAGAATTTCTGCAAGAATGATTGGAGCTTAAGTCTTTGAGTTTCTTAGAGCAAGAGAGCCAAATACTTAAAAGAACATGCAGGTAGATTAATGTCAGTGATGGGGTGCACTGCTGAAGATGATCATGATTTGAAAGAGTTCCAAAGGAGACTGTCACTTGAAGTCAGAAGTTGGAATCCACAGAAAACACAAAGATCAATTGCACTACAGTAAGGGAAAATCAACTGATCTTCAAGAAGGTAACCAGACAAATAAGGACTAATTCAGCAAGATTATCAGTTATTGTCCTGCAGTTGCTCATATCCCCAGTTAACATTATTATAAAGATTACTGACAGCTGTGCAGTTGGTCACAAGCGTGTCATGCCAACCAGAGGAGACTCTGTAGCAAAAGAGGAGTCACACCAACACAAAGCCAACCTTAGACCATCGATCATGACAAACACTTCCCAATCAACATATTGTCCTCAATCAGTCACCTACTGAGCTTGGTCAAAGCCTCCGGCACATCATATTCTGACTTGAAGGGGGAAGGCCTCTCATAATATCTTGGAGCTAAGGATAACCAGCCATTGTATTACGTGACACACACGTGACACGCGCATGAGCTGCAACAAAAATTGTATTTATTTATTTTTTTATTATTTTTTATTTTATTTTAACAGTGTCCTGTCTTGGCAATGTGGCAATGAGAATAATTGTATTGATGCCAAAAAGAGCCCAACAGATTTTACTTTCACAAGTGGAGCAATAGGGCTATCGCCATAGTGTTCCGCTTGTTTAATGCATATTAATTGCTTTATTACAATTATGCACAGAGTTTTACAGATTACATGGAAACTGCAATGTAAATAGAACAGAAGAGGAAAAACAGAAAAACAAAGGAGAAAAGATGAAAAAAAGAGGAGATAAAAGGGAGATAATGATAAAACATTTTCAGTCTGCTTAATCACCTGCAAAGAGATGTAAAAAGAACAACACAACCGACAGACATGGTACGAGACATACAATAAAGTAACACCTAGATACTATCGCTGAAGTAGTATTATTTAATCTGACATGTACTCTGTGTTACCTAAAGATAAGAGTATGGGCTTTCTGTATGAAAAGCCTACAGGTGCTGGTCATAAAATTAGAATATCATGAAAAAGTAGATTGATTTCAGTAATTCCATTTAAAAAGTGAAACTTGTATATTATATTCATACATTACATACAAACTCATATATTTCAGATGTTTATTTTGTTTAATTTTGATGATTACAAATGACAACAAATGAAAATCTCAAATTCATCATATCAGAAAATTAGAATATTGTGAAAAGGTTCAAAATTGATGGCCCCTGGTGCCACACTCTAATCAGCTAATTAACTCAAACCACCTGCAAAAGCCTTTAAATGGTCTTTCAGTCTAGTTCTATTGGCTACACAATCATGGGGAAGACTGCTGACTTGACAGTTGTCCAAAAGACGACCATCGACACCTTGCACAAGGAGGGCAAGACACAAAAGGTAATCGCTAAACAGGCTGGCTGTTCACAGAGCTCAGTGTCCAAGCACATTAATAGAGAGGCGAAGGGAAGGAAAAGATGTGGTCGAAAAAAGTGTACAAGCAAGAGAGATAACCGCACCCTGGAGAGGATTGTGAAACAAAACCCATTCAAAAATGTGGGGGAGATTCACAAAGAGTGGACTGCAGCTGGAGTGAGTGCTTCAAGAACCACCACACACAGACGTATGAAAGACATGGGTTTCTGCTGTCGCATTCCTTGTGTCAAGCCACTCTTGAACCACAGACAGCGTCAGAAGCGTCTTGCCTGGGCTAAAGAGAAACAGGACTGGACTGCTGGTGAGTGGTCCAAAGTCATGTTCTCTGATGAAAGTAAATTTTGCATTTCCTTTGGAAATCAAGGTCCCAGAGTCTGGAGGAAAAGAAGAGAGGCACTTCATCCACGTTGCTTGAAGTCCAGTGTAAAGTTTCCACAGTCAGTGATGGTTTGGGGTGCCATGTCATCTGCTGGTGTTGGTCCATTGTGTTTTCTGAGGTCCAGGGTCAACGCAGCCACATACCAGGAAGTTTTAGAGCACTTCATGCTTCCTGCAGCTGACCAACTTTTTGGAGATGCAGATTTCATTTTCCAACAGGACTTGGCACCTGCACACAGTGCCAAAGCTACCAGTACCTGGTTGAAGGACCATGGTATCCCTGTTCTTAATTGGCCAGCAAACTCTCCTGACCTTAACCCCATAGAAAATCTATGGGGTATTGTGAAGAAGAAGATGCAATACACCAGACCCAACAATTCAGAAGAGCTAAAAGCCACTATTAGAGCAACCTGGGCTATCATAACACCTGAGCAGTGCCACAGACTGATCGACTCCATGCCACGCCGCATTGCTGCAGTAATACAGGCCAAAGGAGGCCCAACTAAATACTGAGTGCTGTACATGCTCATACTTTTGATGTTCATACTTTTCAGTTGGCCAACATTTCTATAAATCCTTTGTTTTTATTGGTCTTCAGTAATATTCTAATTTTCTGATATGATGAATTTGAGATTTTCATTTGTTGTCATTTGTAATCATCAAAATTAAACAAAATAAACATCTGAAATATATGAGTTTGTATGTAATGTATGAATATAATATACAAGTTTCACTTTTTAAATGGAATTACTGAAATCAATCTACTTTTTCATGATATTCTAATTTTATGACCAGCACCTGTATATGGTTTAGGGATGGGTTAGAGCTGCTTTAGATAAAAGCAATCCTTTTGACAGAGGCTTAACCAAACATCAAACTTTGATGAGTTGGGATTGAGAATACATTGACCCATTTCAGTAGATCCTGTTAATTATAATTATAATCTAACGTAGTTCAGCAGAACACATTTAATTACTGTTTATAAAACCCACATTTAGTAGTAGTAGTCAACCGTTTAAAGCCCTACTGAAAAGAACAATAAAAAACACAATGTAGTTTACCAGAAAATATATAAAATATTATTATGTCTCATCAATACAAAGTGGATTATAAGAGTAACATGACTAGACTAAAGTCCATTAAACAAAGATTCTGGAGGCCTTTATAGCTTAACAGGTGGGGATCAAAGTTTAGAAATGCTAACAATTATATTAGAAAAGTATTAAAACTTTTGGAAAGATAAGCTAATCTCTATAGTTTCAGGGCTTTAGACAGTTAGAACCACTATGGATTGTGGTTCTAACTGTCAGAAAGTGATCAGAAATCTTGATGAACATAGTATGCCTTTGTTAATGATTGTTTCTGTTTTAGTCAAACTGACAGCTAAACCTATTTACTTTAGTAAACAATATGACAACCAGAACATGCTTTTATCAGCTTTATTCATCGATGAGGCGTTTCAAAAGGTTTTCTTCCTGGAAATTTTAGAAATGCGTCAAGATGCAAAGACATAGTCAGGCATAAAATTATCATATAAAGATCTTACAGCAGAACTATGGATATGAGGGTTTAAAACAAATCACTGATGAATGTTACTCATAGATTTACCAGTTTCCTCTTCACAAATAAGCTTGAATCTGTTTCCTCAAATGACATAACAGTGAGGTTTCATAAAATGAGCAGAAAAATGGTAAATGTGGCTCATGTAGTGGCATGCACGGGCTGCATCGGGACATATTTTGGGTTTAATGCTGTGGATGCCACAGTGAATCAAGAATACCGCTTGGTTTCAGTTAAGCTGTTGTGCTTGAGGCTGTCAAAAGAGCTGGTTAAAGCGGAATGAGGAGAAAGGGATGTTTTGTGGATGGGAATTGTGTGTTGCACTTTGATCAAGGGAAGAGCATAACACATACACGCTGCAGATCATTCCTGTGAAAGACTTTGACTCATCCTCAGAGCATAAAGTTTACTTTCAGAGTGGTAAATTCTTTGCCACCCATGAAGAGGCTTTACTCCCATCTCCCCCACCAGATTCTCCCTAATCTTTGCTTTTTTTTTTTCAACATCGTTTTGCAATATTTAAGCTGCAGGATGAGAAGACATTGGGCTGAATATCAATTAAAATCTACACCTTGTAATGATGCTAATATTTATAAGACACTTCTTATTTACAGTTATTGTAAATAACACCCTGGTGTAGGTCATGTTAAAATCAAAAAGTAAGTATGCAAAGTAGTCTTTGAAAAGAAATACTATTTAAGTTTAAATTACTGCTTGAAAATGTTCAGTTATTTTAAAATGTATGAAGAAACAAAATGATGGAGAGATTTGTTGGCAAGCTCATCAGTTAATGTCGTAAAGGTCCTAAATGTTGTTTGTTCTTGGATGATCGCTAAAACGTCATCCATTAGCCCAAGGCCATGTCATCTTTAGCAGTCAGGATTTCATAACAACTCAGAATAAAAGAACATCTAACTTTGAAACCCTGCTTCACTCTAATATATGTTGGGTGGTCCAAATTTTAAAAGCCAATTTAATCCCAAAGTGGTTTGTCTCATGTCATGTAGTTTAATCAAAAAGTACACAAAGCAGCTCAGAGTAGGCCCACTGTCCATTTGTGTTGCTCATCTGCCATCAATTTCATCTCCCTCTCTGTCATTTTGTTTGCAGAGAGCTGTCATCTGAGGATCTGGCTCGAGTCCCAGCAAATACAACCAGTAACATCTTGAACAGGTTACTGGTGAGCTACGATCCCAGAATAAGGCCCAACTTCAAAGGCAAGTTACATGCTTTGGAATATACTGTATTTCATATTTAGCTGATGTCTTAAAATGTTAATTACAAACAAAGATCTTCCGTTTTTTTGTCTCTGTAGTTATGTAAGGAGTATGTAAGGATTATGAAGGGACAGATATTAAAGTGGGGCTTGTATTTTTTTGTAAAGTGCAATGATTATACACACCATTATGACCACTTGGCTTGAAAAAAAAAAACAAAAAAAAAAAACATCCTTGACACTGAACCAGCACCCTCCATCTATGGCCAAGAACGTTATTTATCTATTTATTTTATTACATTTTTGCAAAGAAATAGGACTTTAAACCTTTAGGGGAAGTACCCCTACCTGCCATTCCATAGTTATGCTGCTGATGCTGCATCAATAAACTGATGTTTTTATTTAATTTATATATTTCTTCCTTATTTCTTGAAATGATCTACCTAAGAAAACAGCATTTTATCAACACAAATGAACCCATTATGGATTGGTCTTTGTGGGAACTGGAGCTAGACAGAGCAATTTGATTCTAACATGAGGCAGTCTTAGTTTTAGTGCTCACTGAACAGGAAACAGCTGTCTGGAATGTTTGTGCTCTGCTGTGCAAATCACAGAGACTAATTACTTTGCTGCATCCTCCTGGAAACAGGTAAAAAATACAATTGTGACCCTTCTGTCTGTCTGACTGATAGGATTGTCGTCCTTCAACAGTTTCCGTTCCCTGGCACTTAGGTATTTGAGGCTCTGCGTTTGATACAGTATGTAGTGGGCTTCCTCTCCTTTCCTGAACGCTTATGATTAGTCCTTTAGCCAAACATCTGCTCATGAGAGCTGGATGTCCATGAACAGCCATGTCCTAATCTCCTGCATTAAAGGGATAGTTCGGTATTTTTGACATGAATCTGTATGGCATCCCCATCACCAGCGGCATGCAATCACACTGACTTACCCCTGGCAGCGTCCTGTGAGCAGAGTTCTCGTCCAGTTTTGGTCAAGCCGAAAGTAGTCCTGCAGGTTTTTAGGTACAGCGAAATAAAACTTTTCTCTTCCCAAAACATTATGTGTTCAAAAGAGTGATATTTTCGCATCCCAAAAACATTGTAGTGGAAAAAGTCACACGTCGTTATCAATTGGTCCTATTTTCTCTCTGTTCGTATCAGTGCGCGCCGTCATTCAGACAGCGAGCCCAACAACAGCCATGTCTCCCTCCGCGGCGGAGGGAGACATGGCTGACTTCCAATCTTTATAGTTTCACTTTAAAAACAGAAAAAGGGTTCCTTTTACTAAAAAAAAAAAAAATTGACAACTCAGAAAATTTTAAATGCTAACTTATTTGGGGTAGGAGTTAAGGATTTAACTAAAAGCAATCTAGCTAATAACATTGCAGCTTGAAGGAGTAACATTAAGTCAACAGATGTCCCTTCAAGGTGTCCCAGGATGGCCTGTGTTCAGTGTGCATAATAGACTAGATTCATTGGCCACTACTGGAAATGGTCTGAAGAAAACCATTAAGTATGTCATTAGCTCTATGTAGTGTTGCATTATTGGATGACCCAGGATGAATGGCAGTACCATGTGTGACTAAGTGAGAGACAGAATCATCAAGTATTGTATTATTAACTAAGATGAAAATGGACTGCTGAAAGTATTCTGGAATCCTCTTTTCAGGTGATATCACCTTTTGCATTTTTATGGGAAATAAAATTCCCAAACACTTGATGGGTTTTGGCGAGGCAGAAAAAAAAATTCCAAGTTGTGTAGGGTCAAGTTGGGCATTGTCTTTAAAACTGCTGTCTGTGCCTATTGGCCAATGCTCTGACCAATGAGCACAAGAAAGCTGGTGGGGGGGTGTAAACAAACAGCCTGTTGTAAAATGGCGAATACGTCCTTCTTAAAAATGAATGAGCGTAGAGCCTCTTACTGCTCACGTTTCAACGAAAACCCCAAGTCTAATTCTTCCAAAAATGATTCTAAAGCTGAGTCAAACGAGAACTGTTCAATAGTTGTTGCCATCTTTCTTCCACAATCAAAACACATCTCTGCATTGTGATTGGCCCGCCAGTTCTAGGGCCTCGGGCATTGTGTTGAGGCTTGACCCACTCGCAGGCAAAAATGATTTTGGCCGCTTGTGGGTGGGTTTACTAGGCTACCAAAATTAAGCCTCGTGGAGAATCCTTAGAGTATTCTCAAGGGAACCAAAAATGTAGAGGGGCTATAGGCCACTGGTTAGATGATGTAGACTTCAATAACACTTCAGCCAAACCACAGTCTAATTGCCTCCATGTTGCCAAGTGTTAGGACTTTTCAATGTTTTTTATGTAGTTTTTTTTTTCATTGGTTTTAAGCAGTTCAAATTACTCAATGGATAAATAAATGAATTCAGCAATTCATTGGTAATGAAACTGTATAATGTAAAAGTAAAATTTTTGGAACCAAATATCTAAAAGATAAAATTGTTTTATGTTCTATATTACCAGTTAGATTGATTCAGATACATTTACTGGACTAACTTGGTTTCGTTTGACACTGTTGTATGATAAAATATCACTACTCTTGAGTAAAATATCTGGTTACTCCATCCATTGTGAGTAACTTCACTTAAAAATGAAGAAGTTTGTTTTAAACAACTATGCATCATTGAGAAAAAGTCTTTATATTTTGTATTCAGGGCTTATTGTTCGTCTGTTGAGTCCGCTGTGTCATTTGGAGCTCAATTAAATATGCAGTAAATGGTTTACTGTTTTTTAACGTTTTACATTCTGTAACCGCTGGTTTTGTACATTTCAGTTAAAAAATAATAATTCAGTTGTTATGAGCATGGGTAGTAAGCAGATCAGTTAATCAGTACCTAATAGATACTTTTTACTTTTGTTTGAGTAGAAATATGATGAAGCAGTGCTACTGTACTCTTACCGTACTTAAGTACTTAAATACTCTACCCACCTTTGCAAAACTAAAACCGACTGCTCTCTTTCTGAACCCAGGAATTCCCGTGGAGGACAGAGTGAACATTTTCATCAACAGCTTTGGCTCGATTCAGGAAACAACCATGGTGAGAATTTACTCTGCTTGCTTTGTAGTGTGACTATAATGAAAAGTCTTACTTCTGCAGATCAACAAAAACATTTAGAACTACCGGTACTCTAACATAGGTGTTTAAGGAGTAATAAAGAAATAAATATTTAGTAATGGGGTTTAGAACAGTGAGAAATAAATCATTATTGAAAGGAAAAGTTTTTGAGTCTCCTTAATCTGATAGCTTAATTGCAGATAAAGATGTAGAGTTCTAAAGCTAAGCACCAGATTAAGCTCAAAGCTCCACAAGGCAACCTTAATACAGGGACCAAGACAACTAAATTTACCAAGTTTGTGAAAACAAGCAAAGGATTTGATTTCAATTTCATGTAGCTACAAGTGAAGACATTTTAAATGTAAATATATAAGAAAATATAAGTTTTCTATAAAGGTTGGGCCTACTGAGTTGCTACAGGAAGCATAGTTTTTGCTGGTTTTGCTTAAAAACAGTTTTTATGTGAGGATAATCTCAGTTCCCAATAAAGGATGATTTCTAGTAACCGGAATTTGTGCAAAATCAATGGTGTTCTTGAGAACAATGAGCGGAGTCAGTGTCTGGCATGTTTGTCTTCTCTAATGTCTTGAGCTGCTTAAGCTCCAGGTGGCTCTGATGGCACCAGTAGATCAGATGATACAGTCATAGAAACCTTTACGAGAGCTTTGCGAGTTGAAAGAGCACCACCTCATTTTGTGTTTTTTATGCTTCTTAAAAGCTGCTAAAAAATAAATAAATAAATAACCAGTGCTCATTTATAAACATATTCCAAGCCAAGTCTCTTAACTAAAATGATGGGTTCAGTTCAAACATAGTATCATCATTCTGAATCAGTTAATTTCCTTTAAGGGAATTTAAAATCATGAGATGAAGTTCCATAGAAGGCGAGAGGTAGAGAAGGCACAGCTGCATCCTGCGCAGTAATCTTTTATGAAATATAGTGATTTGCAGCTTCTGCATTCGTTCAATCAGCAACAGACACATGTTGCATGCAAGCTTTGCTGATTTGCCATCGATGGTTTCCCTGTCTGGTAAGAAGGATATAAAACAGGAAGACAGAACAATAATGTCAGGAAAGGGAGGAGGCATGTTTATGTGATGAAAAATACGTTTTATTGCATGGCTGTAGTACTGTATGTGATAAATAAATAAATTGTGAATATGCTACTAAAAAACAAGTTGCACAGGACCAAAATGCTACAAGTTACTGAATAAATATACCAGTTAGTCCACAATAAAGATAAAACACAATGTAAGATCAATATTTTAATATCTGCAGTAACTCTATTTCTAATAGAATTATTGTATATTTTATAAATAAATAACAAAATATGTGTTAGATTTTTAGACTCATATGATGTTTTCTTCCACATCTATTTAATTATAATTTAGATTATTAAAGTGTTAGTACGTAATTTGATAAAATGTGGGCTGAAGAAAGATCAAATTGAAACTCAAGAGATCCTTCAGGCTGACCATGAGTCATGTCTGGAAATTTTTAAATGAATCGTATACCCAGCCTGCTTCCTTTTTAAAAGTCTCAAAATATGTGACATGCCCATGTTGTTCCTTTTGCCCTGCTAATTGAGAAAACAGAATTTTCTCTTCACTTCATGATTTTCATAATACAGCACAGCTATATATACAAAACACAAAGGTGAAAAAACAGAGAGTATCACTGGTATATTGATGTTAGATGTCTTAAAGATTTTGCAGCTTAAAGGTTACTGAATCATGGGCTAGTGTTTCATGAAACATTAATCTTTCTCTATAGCCAGTCATGTTAATCAATATACAGCAATTCTAACATTGGAAATCAGACTGTATAACTTGGCAAACTTTAGTGAAAATATCCATGGCCTCTGTTTTAGAGGGAATGTTTCCCTTTGCTGGAAACTAAATGTATAAAATGTATAAAACATTTACTGTTCTCTCTGCCCCTCGTAGTGCACTTGAAAAAGTTATTCTCCCATACTATAAACCTCTAGATTTTTTTACACTGACTTCTCCTGAATAAAATACTCAAAATAACCTAAACAAGAACCTGGATGTATTATTCTGTGAATACCTTATGTACTGTAGTTTCAAATTGATGTAATAACATACAGTAGCATGCTTAAAACTTTATTATTCCATTTTTTTTTTACTCCCACTCAAAATGAGAACATAGCATAGGCAGTGTACCACTGAGACAACGCTATGTTGATTTAGGCGTCTTCAATGGACCACTTTTCACAGCGGCTTGCATATGTTTAACATCTATCTATCTATCTATCTATCTATCTATCTATCTATCTATCTGTCTGTCTGTCTGTCTGTCTGTCTGTCTGTCTGTCTGTCTGTCTGTCTGTCTGTCTGTCTGTCTGTCTGTCTGTCTGTCTGTCTGTCTGTCTGTCTTTGCAGTTGATTAGTGTAACTTGGAGGTTAATAGTGAGTGATGGAATATCACACAACCACACATACAAAAGCGGAGACATAGGAGAAGACTGAGCAGAGAGAAATATTAAGACAGTAAAAGTGAATAAAACAGGCAGCGTGAACGTTTTGAAAACCAAGGCGATTGTAGAAAGTGTCTACTAAAAGCAAGATGAGAGGAAGACGAAACGAGAAAATGACAGGTGTGAGGAAAAAAATAAATGCGAGCCAAGAAAATGGCATAGAAGGAAAATGAGAGAAAAGTCCCAAATGTTTCTTTCTCCCTCTCCTGGGTTTGGCAAAACACAATGAAAGTTAAGAGGGTTTGAAACGATTCATGGAGGAGAAAGAAACAACAGCTGGTCACCTCTCCCCCCTCAATTTATCACTCTATGGGGTATATGACTCTGGAAACCATCCCTCATCATTTACACCTTACTCAGGGCAGCACACAGCACCAGTCTGCAGTATTTAACGCACCAATTTTCACTTCAAGATTGTGTACACCTCTGTAGAAAATGATGTTGATGCTGTTGAGACAGAATAAATTGCAGCTATGTTTTTACTGCCGCCCAGCTTGACTTTTCCTCGCTGATTACAACACACAGTAGTGTTAAATCTCCCTGGAATCGAATGTCGTACTGGCAGCTTGATACTGAGCCAGGAGGAAGATATATTTCCTCGTCTGGTTTTCAGGAAGGATAAGGTGTGGGAATTGGCTTGCGTCTCAGACAAGAAAAAAGCTGGCAGAGGCGGTTTGTGTGGACAGACACACAAGTTTAGAATTATGGTGGCATACAAAAGACAACTTGCTTTCTGAAAGCAGAGCAAATGGACCTCATGCTTCCATCTTAATGTCTGAATGTATTTTATTAAGGCTGAACTCACAAAGCTCCAAAACACCACATTTGATACAATGAAGTTTGTTAAATGACTATAAAATTGAGCTCCAATAGATAGATATAGACAGGCAATGTAAGATTCTTCAAGTAAGATAAATAAAAAAACTCTTGAAGATGTTGCTTTGGAAGCTTTATGATATATTTAACAGTTTATCCAGCTTCACTTTCAACATTTATTCCTCACTAAGTCAAAGAACAGAGTAGTTTAGCTAAAGACCCGCAAGAATGTAGAGATTTCACTTACAAGCAACCCTAATGGCGTCAGTTGTCATGTTGATAAAATCTGACCTCTGAGCTGTGCAGCTCTTTATGTTTCATCATGCTTGGGATCAGCATCTGGACTTGTTTTACCTTTACTTTAGAGAAAATGTTAAAACATGAATTTTCAATCAGAGGAAGTAACCAATCTTGCGGATACTGAATAGTCAAAATAGCTTTTTATTTATTTGTTTTTTATTCAAAGTTTAACTTGCCTCTTTTTAATGTCACTTGCGATTAGGTTTTTAAACACTTTCCTGTTTCAGAGCAAAAGTTTATCTGAGGTGGAATATCAACTATGTTTGTCTCTTTCTACTCTTATATTTTACTCAGTTTTCTCCTGAAAATAAACATATTTTGTCCAGAACTGTCTACTTGAAACATAACCATGTTTGAACTTGTCTGGTTTCAAACCTGACAGGATTACAGGGTGAATATCTTTCTGCGGCAGCGTTGGAATGACCCCAGGCTCAAATTACCACAAGACTTCAAGTCAGATTCTCTCACTGTTGATCCCAAGATGTTCAAATGTCTCTGGAAGCCTGATCTATTCTTCGCTAATGAGAAGAGTGCAAACTTTCATGATGTAACTCAAGAGAATATCCTCCTCTTCATCTTCCGTAACGGAGATGTCCTCATCAGTATGAGGTACGTTTATTTACTTACTTTCTTGTTTATTTTGTTGGTTTCCTTGTTTCTAGTTATTTTATTAAAAAAAGAATGACAAAAGTGTAATATCTGTAAAACCAATGCCTAGGCCTCCTTAGTCCCTTAAAATGTGTTGTGTTTTTGAATGTCACTTCATGCATGTGACACTACCACTATTCTATTACAATTTTTATTTCTTTATTACTTCCATACTTACTTGTAATATCCCACTTGGGCTACTGAAAAGGGCTCTCCAGGCATCAAAGTGAGTTTTTCTAAATGCTCCCAATATTGACCTGGATGCTATTTACCTTAGCATCCAGGTCGGCCTCCCTTTTTTCCAAGGGTGTTCCACAAAGTGGACTGTCTGACAATGTTTAAATCAAGTTTGTGGAGAGTATGTCCTATAAACCTCTCAAGAATCTCTTGGAAGATCTCTTCATGACCTGGCCTGTGATCTCTGGCCTGTGCCTTGCCAGAGCTCTTGGTTGCTGATCACCTTGGGCCAAAGGATCTAGAGGAAGCATCGCAGACACACGTTATTATAAATGTCCGAATCTTAATAAATGCCTGAATCTTCATGATGTTGCTAATAGTCGTCCTCCAGTTTTCAGTGCCATACAGCAACATTGATGTCACATTGGTATTAGAGAGCCTAGTTTAGATAGTCAAGTCTCATGAGCTCCAGATGTTCTGATAAAGAACGGCTGTCCTGGCCTTTCTCTTGTACCTTCCACCCTGCTTGTTGACAGTGCTGCCAGGGTAGGTAAAATTGTTAACTTTTTCTGGTGCTTTACTGTTCAACAAGATGGGTGATGTGTTGGCAGAGTTTATTTCAAGAGTTGGGTCTTTCCTTTGTAGATGTAGTCCAAGTCATTGGAAGATGACTGCCATTTTGCCTGTTTTGTCCTGCATCTGCTGCTGTTGGAGGGTTGGGTCAAGTCATCAGTGAAGTCAAGTCCATACAGTTGTGTCAAATAGATACCAATCCCTGATGTGGACTACTTTTTAACCCAGTCAAAAAGATGGTGTTAACGAACAGCCTTGCTCACTCATCTTTTATCCTTATCTTGTGAAAAATTACTATGTAAACATCCCTTCAACATTTCATGATTGAACTGTTTATCTAGGGTGAAGATATTTATTTATGTAATGAATGTCTACCAAATTTACTTTTTGATTACTTTTTAATTACTTTGCTAAATGAATGAACAGCGATTAAAATCAATCATACAAGCAAATTAAGGGAATTTAACATATTGTTCTATTGCCACCCATTATACCTGCTTAAAAATATTTCATCATGTTCCAACCTTTGAATATATAATAATATAATAATTGCTTCTCTTCTTTGAGTCTGAACCAGGATGATGCCAACGTAAACAGAGAAAACAAATAACTGTTGAAATGCATAGCGTGATTTGGTATATTACCAATATAATGTGGCTTGTTTATCACACTTTGTTTGAACAAGACAACGTGTAACACCAGTATTACAACTAGAGGCCTGAACACAACAGTTGTGTACAACTTTTTAATCTTGGATCCAACTTTTTTTTCATGTCACACTAACTGTATAGAGAGGCTCCGACTAGACAGGGTGAGCAGATCTGCACAGATTTCTTTTCACTTCTGTCTCTGTGCCACCCAAAATGAAAACAATTTACCACATTTGCCTTGGACTGATTATAAAAGTTATAAAAAGTAGCAAAAACTATAAAAAAAAATACAACCACGTTCTATTTAGCAAAGCCCCACAGAACAGATAGAGAATGTCCATATGCCTATATTAAAAACATAATGAGATCTATGTCTAAAGAAAAGGAAAACAGTGATAAACTCTTTGGGACGGTTTAAACAGTAGTCTGACTGAGGCAGCGAGATATGAGGTGCCCCCAGGGACATAAATCAGAATTAACTTGCATATACACATATTAAATTACACTCTTCCATATAATATACTGAAAACCTCACACAAACACTAGTAAAAAGCTCTCACATAAACTAGTGAAAACATTGACCTCTTATATAATCTACTCAAAAGCTCTCATACAAAGTAGTGAGAACTGTTCATATAAACTGGTGAAAAGCTTTACCTTTCATACACACTACTAGAAAGCTTTCATTTACACTATTAAAAAGCTCTCATATACACTACTAGAACGCTCTCATATACACTATTAGAAAGCTCTCATATACACTATTAGAACGCTCTCATATACACTATTAGAAAGCTCTCATAAACACTATTAGAACGCTCTCATAAACACTATTAGAAAGCTCTCATATACACTATTAGAACGCTCTCATATACACTATTAGAACGCTCTCATAAACACTATTAGAACGCTCTCATAAACACTATTAGAACGCTCTCATAAACACTATTAGAACGCTCTCATATACACTATTAGAACGCTCTCATATACACTATTAGAACGCTCTCATAAACACTATTAGAACGCTCTCATATACACTATTAGAACGCTCTCATATACACTACTAGAACGCTCTCATAAACACTATTAGAACGCTCTCATATACACTATTAGAACGCTCTCATATACACTATTAGAACGCTCTCATATACACTATTAGAACGCTCTCATAAACACTATTAGAACGCTCTCATATACACTATTAGAACGCTCTCATAAACACTACTAGAACGCTCTCATAAACACTACTAGAACGCTCTCATAAACACTATTAGAACGCTCTCATATACACTATTAGAACGCTCTCATACACGCTACTAGAAAGCTCTCATATACACTATTAGAAAGCTAAAATATATGGTCCCCCTCCTTTAATTTAGGCAAACATTGCTCAAATATCACCGAATCCAGATGGTTTGTTGTTGATGAAGAGAGGAATAAACACAGTTTAAGATTTGCAGGTAAATTAATTTGTTTCTATATTATGGAACTGCTATCAGGCACTTCCCATCATCTTATATCAGTAATAAAAAATTATAAATACAAATTTGGTATTTGGTGACTTGACTTTTATTTCTGTCAGGCTGAAGTGAAAAAACTTGGAAAGAGACTGATTCTCTTGGCGTTTAAAATAACAACACAAAACAGCATAAGAAAACCGCATTTATTTTTTTTATTTTACAATTTTGTAAACAACAGCGGCTGATTAAACTAAATGTCTCAACCTTGTATAATTTTACGACTTTTTATTTAACCAAGAAATGATCCGAAAGGCCTGGGAAATGATCAGATCCGCTTATGTGGCTGCAACGCGCGGCGCGCTCCCGACACAGGTGGAACAGATTTTCACATGGGAACAGAATTTCGCACAACACCGGAAAAGGATCTCTGTTGAAGCAAAAACATAAAAAATAAAGTCGAGTAATGCCCATGCTTCTGTGAGTTGTTTAGCGGATAGCTGAGCATGAATCAATAATTTTATTTGATACAATTTCGGCCGAAGATAGCACAAAATGTACGGAGCTAGCCAGAATGACCTCCGTTTAAAACAACTTCCGGTGTAATGACGGTCCTTCCTGTTTCACTGAAACGCCTTCCGTTTCAACTGAAACACCTTCCGTTTCAACTGAAATCCGCTAATAGCTTTTCAGTAGTGTGTATGAGAGCTTTCTAGTAGCGTGTATGAGAGCGTTCTAATAGTGTATATGAGAGCGTTCTAATAGTGTTTATGAGAGCGTTCTAATAGTGTTTATGAGAGCGTTCTAATAGTGTTTATGAGAGCGTTCTAATAGTGTATATGAGAGCGTTCTAATAGTGTTTATGAGAGCGTTCTAATAGTGTATATGAGAGCGTTCTAATAGTGTTTATGAGAGCGTTCTAATAGTGTTTATGAGAGCGTTCTAATAGTGTTTATGAGAGCGTTCTAATAGTGTTTATGAGAGCGTTCTAATAGTGTATATGAGAGCGTTCTAATAGTGTTTATGAGAGCGTTCTAATAGTGTTTATGAGAGCGTTCTAGTAGTGTTTATGAGAGCGTTCTAGTAGTGTATATGAGAGCTTTCTAATAGTGTATATGAGAGCGTTCTAATAGTGTTTATGAGAGCGTTCTAATAGTGTTTATGAGAGCGTTCTAATAGTGTTTATGAGAGCGTTCTAATAGTGTATATGAGAGCGTTCTAATAGTGTTTATGAGAGCGTTCTAATAGTGTATATGAGAGCGTTCTAATAGTGTATATGAGAGCGTTCTAATAGTGTTTATGAGAGCTTTCTAATAGTGTATATGAGAGCGTTCTAATAGTGTATATAAGAGCTTTCTAATAGTGTATATGAGAGCGTTCTAGTAGTGTATATGAGAGCTTTTTAATAGTGTATATGAAAGCTTTCTAGTAGTGTGTATGAAAGGTAAAGCTTTTCACCAGTTTATATGAACAGTTCTCACTACTTTGTATGAGAGCTTTTGAGTAGATTATATAAGAGGTCAATGTTTTCACTAGTTTATGTGAGAGCTTTTTACTAGTGTTTGTGTGAGGTTTTCAGTATATTATATGGAAGAGTGTAATTTAATATGTGTATATGCAAGTTAATTCTGATTTATGTCCCTGGGGGCACCTCATAGCGAGAGGTGATTCTCAGAGTGAGATCTGGAAAGTTTATTCAAGGTTTTCTTTTTTTTTTCATAAAGTGGTGAGAGAGATTCACCGTGCTCACCTGTTCTCTCTGTCCCTCGTTATTTTGGTTTTTGTGAGGCTCAAAGAGGATTACTATTATACGATGTGTTTTTGGTCTTCCTGAAGTTACTTTCTTTAGAGGAGATTGATAAACTATGCTTTCTATTCCTCATTGTTTTTGCAAGGCTCAAAGAGGATTGCTAGCTTATCTGTTTTCTCTCCTCCTAAATTCCTATCATGGGTAAAGTGTTCCTTTCTAATATTTCATAAATTTTTTTTTGCACTATATGCAATGTGCGACTCCAAAAATGACTGTTTTCTCATGCAATTAACATATTTTATTTTGTATTTTCCCCCAAAGCAGATGTGTTTTACTTTTTAACTGCTTCTCTCTTCCTGTTAGACCCATGAAATTACCAATGAATTTCTGCATAGTCAGACTTAAATAGACCTGGGGTCTATCTCAATCAGACCTACACAAGCTCCCTTGCATAAAATCGTGGCAGGTGTGATCATCCCCATTGACTTTCAATGAGTGCTACACGCCACAATCTCGTCCGACACGATTTTGTGTCAGATCGAATGCAAAAATCGGATTTGGTGTGTTCTTGCCTTTAGGCTTGTATGTGTTTGTATGGGGATATACTCAGAGGGAGATGAAGTTTTTAAAGCTCAAATTTCTTTGTTGTCATCCTCTTCAAGGTTGTCTGTTACCCTATCTTGCCCATTGGATCTGACCCTGTTTCCAATGGATACGCAGAGATGTAAAATGCAACTTGAGAGCTGTAAGTAAAGAAAAAAAAAATACATATACATATATATATTTATTTACTTCATAGTTTCCAAGCAAAACTGAAACTCAAATAGATAAATGTGGTTTAGTCTTACAGCTAATCGGGCCTGACCTTTGTGATGGCATTTTGTTTAGCACCAGGCCAAGTAAAGTCAAATTCAGAGGCACATCAGGATGCTCTAACTTTTTCTATTTTTTTAAAATGAATTTGTTCTAAAAAATGTTTTTATATACATTGCATATTTTAATGTTTGAGTATTAATTGGGTAACTTGATTTTCCAGTCGGCTACACAACAGATGACCTGCAGTTCATGTGGCAGACAGGGGACCCGGTCCAAATGGACGCTATTGCTCTCCCACAGTTTGACATCAGACAAGAAGACATTGATTATGGGAACTGCACCAAATTCTATGAAGGAACAGGTGATGCTTTACAAAAAAAATATTTCCGTGAAGTTAGTTTTTTGTTAGAGAAAGAAAAAGCATCTGTAATTATTCTCATAGAACCTCTGAAAGTCATTACATTGAAAGTTTCTTCAAAAAAACATTTGTTTTGTTCTGTTCAGGAATCTGTAGACATTCTCTCTCAGATTTCTATTTTCATACATTTCTTACACTTATCCTTAGAATTGTCTCATTTAAGTTGAATTGTGTGGTATATATAATATTAATAAAACAAAGAAATTAGATATTATTAAATATTATAAATACAGAACTTAAATCTAGTTAATTTTTTTTTTTATCTACTTTTTTCATCTCATAAAGCATTTTATTCATTAATAATCATGGACGAAATATTTTCCTCATTTTGGTTTCTATTGTGTCATTATGCTGGCTCCTCATTAGATTTTTGACCGTTGAATGCAGAATAAGAAAATACAATGATCCAAGATAGAAACTTACATCAGGTAACTGGTGCTGTAATGGGTAGCAGAGTTTATCTGGAAAAAGGAAATTCTGCTGAGGTTGACCTGTGTTATTCAGATTATTAAGCCTTGGTGTAGTGAAACAAATGTGTTTTATACAAACCCATCTGAAAACATTTGCAAACAATTTCATTTTAAAACAGAAAACAATTTTCTTTAATATTGACTTGCTTTTTTCTGCTGTTTGGGCCGGATTTATCAAGATCCAATTTTGCGTGCAGTAATTTGCGCTCGCAAACTGGAATTTTGCGCGAGGGGCTGAACCATGGTTTGCGGGTGATTTAACAAGAGTGATTGCGTAACTGGTGGAAGGTGCAAAACTGTTGGAGACGCCCTATTTAAATGATGGTTTTGCGCGTTTTGTGGTTTGCGGCAAAGTAGTTTGTAGTCTGTACAAACTAGTGCATTAAGAAATTTAAATCTTACAGTGACCCCCAACAAAAAAAATAAATAAGTAAATATATATATATATATATATATATATATATATATACTGTATATATATTTATAAATTGGCAACCTTTATTCCCTAAGGTGGTATGTGCTGCAGTAAAAAAAAAAAAAACAAAAAAAAAAACAAAAAAAACAAAAAAAACAGGTGTTTTGTATTGGCCTGTGACTGTGGATGAGATCCCCGCAGCATTTGGCATGTTGCTCCACAGGCGCAGGGGGAGAACCCCGACCCCGTCGGACAGCACTTCTGAAAAAACGAGATTGGTAGATCCCAGCTCTCGCTGCAACCGTACGCTGGAATGACCCAGATGCAAAAAAGTGCAATGTTGCAAGGAGTTTTGTGATATCTGGTATTGCGTGGGTCCTCCTTGTGGCTGGCTCCAAATCCATTCGGAGTTCCCCCAACAGCTCCAAAATGGCAATGCTGGATAAACTATATGGTTTGATGATCGTTTCCTCCTTCATTCCAAAAATATTCACACGGAGTGAAAAAATGCGTTCTCTGCGTCTCCTTGCTTTATTTCCATGTCTCCTTCTTGCGACAATAACCGCTGCCATGTGTGCGCAATTAGGCATACAGACCATTTGCACCTTCTTTTGAAACGTGTTAAATATAGAGTTAGATACCGTTAGCAAAATTGCGTTCAAGTTTGATAAATCACTTTGCGAGTGCTAAATTAATATATTTACATGTTCTCCTCCCACAAGACGCACTTTAGCGTGTAAACGCCCCATATTGCATATTCATTGCAGAAAAAGTACTAAATGGATCAGAGGCGCTATTTTGCACGTTTTAAAGACCAAATCCTTTTAGCATGCTGTTGATAGATCAGTTTGTACATTTTTTAGCGTGCGCAGTGAAATAGCTCACGTTTTAATACACGCAAACCTTTGATAGATCCGGCCCTTTGTATTTAGTGCTTCAAACAGCAGCCAGTTGAATAGATTAAACACAACACCACCTGTCTCACCACTGATATTGAAGTTCAAATGTTTTTTTTTGTTAATAAAAACGCTCCCTTTACCAGATCTCACAGCTTTTTAAATGGAGAAGACCTGCTCTTGATGAGTCAGGCCGCTACCTGGTTACCATGGCTACCCACCAGCTATAGAGATCGTGTCTGTTTCAACTGGTTTGAGCTTGCTTCATGACACATCCAGCTTTTATGTAAGCGCTGAAGAGAATCATGAGTTTTTCAGATATTACTTCACCTCAGCTATTCTCCCTGGATCAACGACATAGACGCATTTAATCATTTAGTTGCTCTTGGGTGAGAAACACATTAATCAAGAAAAAGGTTGGAGCCTGGTATACCTTTTTAATACCTAATATTATTTTTTAATAGCTAAATAGTTCATGCTGCTGTGATTAATTATTATTAAAGTGGACATTTTTACAATCAAATACCCACACAGAATCCTAATTCAGTTTATAATATGTCTTTATAACAACATTCAACTTAATCTTTCATTTTACAAAAGCTGCCACAATCTTTACCCAAGGATTGAGCTTATTTTATAGGGTTATTGTCTGAATTAGATCCTGAGGCTCTGTTCATTGTTATTTTAAAATTCACTACTTATGCATATAGGCCTATGTGATTTTTAATTAAGGCCGTTGTGATATTTGAGGGTTTTTATCTTCTCCACATAGGGTATTACACTTGTGTAGAGGTTATCTTCACCCTACGGAGACAAGTTGGTTTCTACATGATGGGTGTTTATGCCCCAACGCTGCTTATAGTGGTTCTTTCCTGGCTGTCTTTCTGGATCAACCCTGATGCGAGTGCTGCCAGGGTTCCCTTAGGTAAGTTCATTTCACCAAGTCCAACATATTCCACTGATATTTACAAGGACATCAATGCTGTAAACTCCTATTCTGCTCTTTTAGCCGCTACTTTTGCAGTACAAAAAGTGAGCGAGTGAAAGAAAACATTTTTACAGGTCATCATAATTGTTAAAAAAGAAAAAATACCTGGAATTTAGAGAAAATATTAAACTACTCTATTGTTTAGATAAAAAAAGCGATATTCCTTTAAGCCCTTATTTTCGGTTAATGCTGATAATGACCTACGGTTGAGAAAAAAAAACACAGTTTAGATTTATTATAATGTCAGAATAGTTAATTATGCAAAATAATTCCTGGCTTTTACAGTATAAGAAATATATTTTTCGGTACATAAACCTACTTTTCTGTAGTCTCACTTGTCTATGATGCCATCCTTAGCTTTACTAGTTATTTTTATTAGCTTTTACTAAGACAATTTTTATTAGTTGAATTAACAACAATAAAGGTTTTCTCAATATGTGTGTAATAGCTACATATAAAATAAAAGCTACTTTTTAAATAGAAATACATAAAAAATAAAATGTTTTATGAAATCTGCATGTATATTCTGAATAATCTAACTGTATATTAAAATACAGGCTCAGAAGAATTCATGTAATAAAAAGAAATGGACAAAACTGGAGGAGATGAAAAATAGAGACCACTCCGAAGGTTAGGAGGTTTCAAGGATTTCCCACATTATTGCCTCCAGTCATTTCCATCATGAAATAATCAATCACTTGGAAACCATTAGGAACTTTGCATGTGAAGTATGGCTCCCGTTCCAGTTTTTGTAATGTGTAATAAATCACTAAATGTTGCTGTAATTGACAGCTGGAACCCCCCATAGTGATGCATTTATCTACTATAGTACCTCAAACCTGTTGTTGAACATGGGGATGGATTCCTTCTTAGTAAATGACAGAACATTCAAATTTGTAAAGTAGATAATTTTTAATTTAAATCAAAATATATTTTTAATAACCTATTAAATGATTATCCATCCATAATGCAGTTTTGTATATGATATATATTATACAAAACAGTTTATATAACATTACACACACACACACACACACACACACACACACACACACACACACACACACACACACACACACACACACACACACACACACACACACACACACACACACACACACACACACACACATGTTGTGTCACAATATCCTTGTGGGGACCTTCCATTGACTTCCATTCATTTTCCACTAATTTATATGGCCTAACCATGACCCTTGCCCTAACCCTAACCATTACCGACACATACCTATCCCTAAACCTAACCTAAACTCAATTCACACCTTAGTCCTATGTATGTGTATGTATGTATGTATGTATGTATGTATGTATATATGTATATATATATATATATATATATATATATATATATATGTATACTTATACTTTTGTTTTTCCTTTCTGAATGCATTCACCATAACCTTGTGTTAATTGTATAAGAAACATATTTACTCCCGTTCAGTGGTACTCTTCTATGCCACACCAGGTGTCAGAATATGTCCTCTCCATAAAGTATTTTACAGCACCATTACCCTTGCATTTGTCCCCAGGACTGCATGGATAAGGTCATCTGTTGTTATCCCACCTCAATCATCCACTGTCTCCATTTTGTTCCATCTTCTTTCAGCTGTTTTTCACCACTTTCATTCCATCATCACCTAATATCCTCCTGGAAGCCCGCTCTGGCTTCTCTCTGAATTGACCCAGGTCAGTCTGCACCCAGATATCTATTTGTATTTGTTTTGTTGTTCACTTTTGTGTCACATGATATACATTCTGTTGCGGGAAAAAAGTGTTCAACTATTCACTCCAGTTAAATAATCAGAGATCAATGGATTTCACTCAGTTGGCATTTTATTCCAAACTTTGCAAAGAGAGACATCAAACAGCTCTTATTTCATCGTAATCAGCCCTGTTCTGATCTGGCCAGTGTGTTTCTTCCTTACTTACAATAATGGAAAGTAGTCAGAGTCAACTTTACAGACACTTTCGTTAAACAGTAACATGCTATGGATGAATCTTGAGAAAGAACTTGGATTTGTATGGGAATAAGTATTTCTCGTATGTAAACACTCCTCACTTTGAAATTTTGTGGCCTTGAGGTGAAACAGACTGAGTAAAAATATATTTCAGTGGATAAATAGCATAACTAGATATATGAAATAAGAGAAATCAAAAGTTTTCGACCACACACTCACAATCTGTTTAATTACAAGTCGTCATAAGGATAATCACACCACAAAGCTGCAAAAGGTTAAGGTTTCTTATTTATGTGGCTAAAAAAAACACATTTCATGTTAAGGAATATTAATTTTGGCAAAAGTGTTGAATCAAAACTAACTGTACAGCCTCCCATTCTGACAGGACAACACTCCCCTGTGTCATCTAACATTTCAGAAGGAAGGACTATATATAGTAAAAAAATCTCTTTTAATTCCTCCTTGAAAAAATTATCTTAGATCATCTGGAGTTGCTGAATTCAGCTCAGCTTGTACATTTTGTGAATGTTTTTGTCACAGAAGGGTTGAAAATATTTGGATAGGCCAAACCTTTCTTTGTTGAATTGACATTATGTTTTAAAAGTTACCCACAATACCAAATAGCAAATGAACCTGTTTATTTTATTGGTAATTTGTGATGATGGGTCAAAAACATCCTCCATTACTCCCAGGAAGCCTTTAGGGATGCAATTAGCGATAAATGGATATGGAAATGATCATGTGGTCATCACAGGTTCCTCCTTTTTACCCTGATTTTCCAACAAGAAACCTCACAGTGACCTTGTTTTAAATAATTATTCCTAGTGAGACAGCTGGTTTCTAAATGAATGTGATCTCATAAATGACTCATTCATTTAGGATTTATTTACAGATGTTTCAAGGAATGACAACAAATGTGTCTACCTCAATTTTATAATGTTCTTATATATGTTTTTGCTAGGATAAGAAAGCTATTTTTGGTTTTAATTGGGGATTGACTAATACATAATTAAACAATTAAGGTCATTTCATCCAATGATAAAATGTATTTGTTTAATCCAATATTAAGTCTGAACCACTGATGTTGTAAACTTTATGAAAATAAAATAAATCTATCTTGTTTTGTTGCCACTTTTAACATTAATCGTTAACTGATAAAGGTGAGAAAACAGCCATCAAATTTTTTCGAGCAAGAAAGGAAACTCTGATTGAATTATTTTAATTAAATCTGAGAGCAGCACCTTTTAGTCCTTTGAATGTATTAGAAGTCAGTTTCAAGACACATTAGCAACAAAAAAAGGACTTCTCTCCTTGCTAGGGAGAGAAGTGTGCAAGGCCATTCATTGATGTTAAAATAACCTCTAACCGTGGTCATAATTGCTGTTTCCATGGTGGTCTGAAAGATTTACTGCTATTAATGGAAAATCACAAGCCTGTAATGATGTTGGCAAGAAGAGATACAAACTCTTCTTGTTAGAGGCTTTCAGTGCTCTTGAGAGATAAAAAATCTGATTTGAATACTAATTTCTGGGATGTTCTCTGAAATATTTTACAACAGTTCAATTACAGGTTTTAAGATAAAAAGGAAAACGTTTTGTTTCTTTTACTTCACAGCCTAAAAACTGCAAGTATTAGTTGGTTGCAAACAGACATTAAGTCTAACACAACAGAACGGCTTGTTTTAAATTTCTCTATATGGGGTTGGAAAAATTTTTGGTCACCTTGTGTTTCTTAATATTTTAACATCTAAAGAACTGATTGATAGTTTATTAGATTATTGGAAGTTTTCCTGTACATTATATTAACCACTTTTTTTTCTGTGAGTTGCTTTTTTTAACAGCTTCTTGAGGAGAAAAAGTGCAGCAAATCCCTGACAAAGCACCTCAGAAATGTATCATCTATCCTCTCATCCATCCATTGAACATTATTGTGAAACAGAACTTATAAGTTTCTTCTTTATTTGGTTTTATTAAATTGTATCATTACACCAAGACTGATATCAGATAAAGAGAACTGTAGTCCATCCATCCATCAATCTATTCATTTTCTGTCACACTTATCCCTGCTGGAGACGTGAGGGGCTGGTCGTCAGTCCATCACAGGGCAAAACAGAGACAAACAGGACAAACAATCATTCACAACAAAACAGTCATGTTTTTGGACTTGGGGAGGAAGCCGGAGTACCCAGAGAGAACCCACACATGCAGAGCTAGAAGATGCAAATTCCGTGCAGACAGAACCTGGGCCAAGAATTGAACCTGGACCCTTCTTGCTGCATGGCAACATTGCTACCCACTGCCCACTGTGAAACTGTCAGTACAGATTAAAGTTTTGTTAATTTTTGCCAATACAATTTTAGATGAATTTGTATCAAAGAGCAGGTAATGGTTCAGCCTAGTTTAGTTTGAGATCATGTGACATAAATAAAGTGTCAAGTTGCAATAGTTAAGCCACAGCTTTGTTGTTTCTGCTGCCATCAGACAATTGAAATGTGTACTGGAGGTACACTATATTGCCAAAAGTATTTGCTCACCCATCCAAATTATTGGAATCAGGTGTTCCAATCACTTCCATGGCCACAGGTGTATAAATTCAAGCACCTAGGCATGCAGACTGTTTTTACAAACATTTGTGAAAGAATGGGTCGCTCTCAGGAGCTCAGTGAATTCCAGCGTGGAACTGTGATAGGATGCCACCTGTGCAACAAATCCAGTCGTGAAATTTCCTCGCTCCTAAATATTCCACAGTCAACTGTCAGCTGTATTATAAGAAAATGGAAGTGTTTGGGAACGACAGCAACTCAGCCACGAAGTGGTAGGCCACGTAAACTGACGGAGCGGGGTCAGCGGATGCTGAAGCGCATAGTGCGAAGAGGTCGCCAACTTTCTGCAGAGTCAATCACTACAGACCTCCAAACTTCATGTGGCCTTCAGATTAGCTCAGGAACAGTGCGCAGAGAGCTTCATGGAATGGGTTTCCATGGTCGAGCAGCTGCATCCAAGCCATACATCACCAAGTGCAATGCAAAGCGTCGGATGCGGTGGTGTAAAGCACGCCGCCACTGGACTCTAGAGCAGTGGAGACGCGTTCTCTGGAGTGACGAATCGCGCTTCTCCATCTGGCAATCTGATGGACGGGTCTGGGTTTGGCGGTTGCCAGGAGAACGGTACTTGTCTGACTGCATTGTGCCAAGTGTAAAGTTTGGTGGAGGGGGGATTATGGTGTGGGGTTGTTTTTCAGGAGCTGGGCTTGGCCCCTTAGTTCCAGTGAAAGGAACTCTGAATGCTTCAGCATACCAAGACATTTTGGACAATTCCATGCTCCCAACTTTGTGGGAACAGTTTGGAGCTGGCCCCTTCCTCTTCCAACATGACTGTGCACCAGTGCACAAAGCAAGGTCCATAAAGACATGGATGACAGAGTCTGGTGTGGATGAACTTGACTGGCCTGCACAGAGTCCTGACCTCAACCCGATAGAACACCTTTGGGATGAATTAGAGCGGAGACTGAGAGCCAGGCCTTCTCGTCCAACATCAGTGTGCGACCTCACAAATGCGCTTCTGGAAGAATGGTCCAAAATTCCCATAAACACACTCCTAAACCTTGTGGACAGCCTTCCCAGAAGAGTTGAAGCTGTTCTAGCTGCAAAGGGTGGACCGACGTCATATTGAACCCTATGGATTAGGAACGGGATGTCACTTAAGCTCATATGTGAGTCAAGGCAGGTGAGCAAATACTTTTGGCAATATAGTGTATGAGAAATGTTGTTCTCATTTGGCAGAATTTCTCAAAATGTCTCCAAACATTGTTTGTCAATATTAAGGTGATAAAATATCTTTAATATCACATTCTTTAAAGACTTATGTAATATTTACTTTCTTTTCAAATACAGTCCTACCTTTTTTTCAATCACATTTCTGACTGATAAGGTTATCTGTAATCTCCTTCTCTGTAGGTATCCTCTCTGTGCTCTCCCTGTCTTCTGAGTGCACCTCCTTAGCTTCAGAGCTGCCAAAAGTGTCCTACGTCAAGGCCATTGACATTTGGCTCATTGCTTGCCTGCTGTTTGGCTTTGCCTCACTGGTGGAGTATGCTGTGGTTCAAGTGATGCTCAACAGTCCAAAGCACATCGAGGCAGAGAAGGCCAGGATAGCTTCCAAGGAGAAAGCTGCAGGAAAGAGTCCAGGTGTCAGGAACAACACCATCAACGGGACTGGAGGGACACCTCTTCATGTCAGCACCTTACACGTTAGTGAATGGCTTTGATACATGAATGTGTGTGAAAGGCTGTCAGGAAAGCATGAGGTTAAAGCCACACAAACCATTTTGCTTTTTGGCTTTCTCATCATCCGGGCTGAAGCTACTCTATGCTATTATGAATACGCAAAAACTTGAATTTACAGCATATTCTATTTTCTGTCATTTTATATATATATATATACGGTATATATATATATATATATATATATATATATATATATATATATATATATATATATATATATATATATATATATATATATATATATATATATATATATATGTATACATATATCCAGGGCTGAAACACATGGAACTCCTCAAGGGGAAAGGTTTAGTTTCACCTTGTTTGATTCTGTAAAAAATCTCCTTTAAGAATCCGTGTGCTATCTACACCACAGAATTAGAGCCAGGCTAGACATTTTTTTTTTTCTTCGGGAATTAATCTTAATATTACGAGAATAAAGTCATAATATTATGAGAATATATTCGTAATATTATGAGAATAAAGTTGAAAAACGAGGATGAACTCATCGTACCACAAACCAACCAAACAGCAACCTCAGTCCACTTTGACATACTGCCCAATTTGATGCTGGTGTGCTAAAAATGTATTTTCTAATAGAAAAAAACAATATGTTGGATAATAAATTCAAATAGTTTTTCTTTTTCTAAATAGGAACAGATTAATTGATGTTACATAGTGTTTTTGCCATTCAATGATATTAATGTTACACCTGGATGGGACTTTAAATGTGACTTTTCTGGTTTTAAATTCTAAACATCTAAGAGCGAAGACCGGACCAAAAGCCAAAGACATATTTTTTGTTTAGCTTTACAGTTATTTGCAGAAAATAATTCAAAATTACAATGACAAAGTAGAACAGGTTCTAGTGAAAGTCTATGCCATTAACCATCAAATAGCACCACACATTTGTTTCAGTCATATGGTTTCAGTTACTTATATATTCAACCACCATTATTCTGGTGCACCTAAAGTAAATTGTGCACAAAAGTTAAAAGATCTTAGAATTGATAGGGTTATCTCTTTGTAGTTTAAATCCAACATAAAATTGCTAAAACAATCGGTAATATGATTTACTTCAGCAGGGACAAGAAAACTAGTTAGAATGATGGGAAGATGCCCATAAGATTATCCTAAATGAAAAACCTTTAGAGGTTGCAAAAGACTTAAAGATTAATTGGAGGTTTACCCTCTACTCAGAAATGCCAAAAAAATAATGGTTTATAATTGATTTGAATCAGAACATATTCAGGCTTTAGCATGGGACTATAAACTATTAATGAAGAATTAGCCGCTGCAGTAAAACAAAAAAACAAAAAAAAACTTGGCAACTTAAGAGAAATAAAAAAAAAAGTTTATCAGTAAACCTCTAATGCTGTTGAACACATACGCAAGGAATAAAAGAACTGCATATAATTGGAAGTTATTTTTTTAAATAAATAGACATTGTTTTTTTTCTTTAAAGCGGTATTACAGAATGTTCTAACGATACAGCCATTTGGGGCCAAAACACAGATGTCATTGTTCTGCTCCTTCCTGTAGTTTGCACTCGTACTTAAATTTTTTTTTTTTTTTTTTTTTTTTTTTTTATGTTTTTCACCTTACCTGGAGTTGCAATTGGTTTCTGAGTTAAGCTGGAGGATGGTTCTGTGTGTCCACAAAATCCATCTAGAATCTAAGGCTTCCATTCTTTGCTAGGTCGGACTCATGGACGTGCTTGATGTCACATTTGCAGAACAACGCGGGAACTTCTGACTCAAAATAAATTCAGGAATAGGCTACAAGCTTATAGATGCATCTACTCTGACCTACCGAGGTCTTAGTCTCTTCATTAAACCATGTTTAAGGCATAAAGGGTAGAATAAAAAGGTTATTTTACAGATAGTTTTCAGTGAGACCTTGAATAATGTCTCTTTAACACTATAATGCTAAATGTATCATATTTGATACATACTGAAATGTTTTGCGTCTGACACCTTTTGCATAATTTAATACAATAGGAGTTTGCTCAAACTCCTATTGTACACAATCAGATATACCTGATAACAGAGGGCAGAAGACTACACAAAAAATAATCTTGACTTATCGCATAGTAATAAATTATTAATATCAAAAATGTATTTCTGTTTTTTCTTTTTACATATTTTGTTAAAAGGCCAAATAAGGACTTCAAACCAAAAAAAAGTAATTTTCTGTTTTGTTTTATCCTTGGATCGGGCTTTAAAGGGTTAAGCATGTTGTTGTAATCTGATAACATATTAGAAGCAACAGTAATGTTGTGTGTTAAAGGTAAAACAAGTCCCATCAGGAAAAACTGTTAGTGACATCTGCTCTGTTTGTTTGTGTTAATAAAATCCACTAATGTTATAGGTCAACACAGAACAATTTTACGATTAAAGCTTTTGGGCTACAGCAGCCATTCAGAATTTGGCTGGTCATTGGCTAGTCCCCTACTATTCCTTTTTAAACATCTAAAATATTCTTTCTGTCATGATTTGTGGACATTAAGATCTAAAAAGAAGCGTTATCTCCTGTTCAGACCCTGTAATTCAGTGAAAGGGTGGAGTAAGAGTAAAAAAATATGCACACCCATGAGAAGCCAGTGGCTGGAAGTTGGAGGGGGTTTTGCTGCCATTTGACTGGCTTTTGACTAAGAAGGGCCATTTTAGATGGCTGCTACTGTAGTCTCCTTACAACAAAAACCAAATGACATCTCTGTTGAGTCTGCAGATTCTGAGAGGTTGTGTTTATAAAGTGCAGATGAAATGGTGTTTCTTGCAGGTGTTCAGTTGATGAGAAGTGACAGAAAAATATTGATGGCAGCTATGAAACAAGCAAAAAGTGACAGATCGACTGTAAAAAAGCAGCAGAACAGGATGTGAAGGATGTTTTAATCTTTAGCTACAGATGTGTTGTTCTCTTTGTGTTTGACTCAGTTTCATGCAGACTAATATTTTACAAGAACAAATGCTAATTTGCCTTTTATAATCAAGTGGAGTGTTTAGAAAAATAAAAGCTTATACGATGGGTATAAGATTGTTTGTTTTACCAATATAGCAGGTGAAAGTTTTTACTGAACTACAGATGAACTTATGTTGATTCAGTTGTTTCTTCCTCCTGGGCTTTGGGGAAATATTTTGCATTCTGTTTTCTCCCAACTCTTAGGGTTCAAAGACAGAAAATTGAACATCTCTCTTCCACACACAACATATTTTCCCTTCTTGTCTCTTTCTGTGCCCCAGGTGGGTGAGACCCGCTGCAAAAAGGTGTGCACATCCAAATCTGACCTGAGGACCAACGATTTCAGCATTGTGGGCTCACTCCCACGGGACTTTGAGCTGTCAAACTTTGACTGCTATGGGAAACCAATTGACACCGGCTCTGTTCTTGGTAAATCTCAGGCGAAGAACAAGAAACCGCCTCCTCCGAAGCCAGTGATCCCATCCGCTGCCAAAAGAATTGACTTGTACGCCAGAGCACTGTTCCCTTTCTCCTTCCTCTTCTTTAACGTGATTTACTGGTCCATATACTTGTGATTACCCAATACTATTTTCCCAGTGCTGTAGTTTTATTAGTTTTTTATTGATTGAACTATAAAAAAGACCTACGTTTGAAAGTGAGCATTCAGAGAAGTGAACGTTGCCCGTAAATAATTACATCAGTAAAGAAAGTAAAATAACTATTTATACATTAATTCCCACTTAAGCTATTTCTGCAAAATATCTAAGAAATATATAGTTTTATTTTATCTAGTGTAGGGGAAGCAGAACCTTATTATGAGTTACCTCATGAACTAAATGTATGCTTAAAGAACGTTTGCTAGAATGCAATGGTTATGATTATAAGTTAGTAAAAAATTCCCAAGGAATGAGTAAGAGGAGAGCTGAATATGCAAAGAAAAACTGATGATGGTTTGCAAATTGCTATTTTATTTATTTTGCCCTTTCCCTGTTTGTGAAAGCTCAAAAGTTACATAAGTTTAGGCACTTTATTTTGGCTTCATTGCGAAGTGTAATTACCTAGCATGTTATAAATAGCGCATGTAAATAAAGAGAAAACCTAAAATATTTATTAAAAAAAAGATGTTTTTGAAATTTAGAAATTCCTATGATTTGTTTGAAGAAGAATCGTGGATATGTGAAGCACTCCTTTTCCTGCCCAGATGGTCATGTGACACTGCCACTCCTACAACTATAACACTTGACTCATCATACCTGTAGCCTGTGCAAGAGGGTCACTACTGAGCTGTGAGTGACCATATGTTTGTGAGATTTTCAAGCTCAAAAAGCAATTTATTAAATGACTTTCCACCATTTGATGTTACTAAAAATAAAGACGAGAAACTTGACTTCGGTTGTCATTATTTATCAAACAACAATTTTTCAGTTGTCAGTTATAGATCTCTTCACAAGGGCATCCCACTGTGCTTACATTAAAGAAAAACAGGAATGTATTATGCATAAACAAATTCCAAAATGATCCAAAACGCAAAAATAATAACATTACTTCAAGGAAATACATCATGAAAATTAACTTTTCTATGAAATTACAGATTTAAAATTCCATTAGAAAGAAAATTAATAAATTACAGTCATTAAATATAGTACCATAAAGATACAGACACAATTAACATCAGATCAAACCTTGGAATACATTTTTATCACTAAAAGTCAGGTTTAAGGCGCTACCCAATAGAATAAGCCATTAAGTTCAGGAAAGCTTTTCTGCTAATGAGAGCCGTAATCAGAAGGAACAAGTATTTGGCTTTGGTCTAAAGTTATAATTCTTCTCATCTTGCAGGCAGAGCCATATAAGTAAGAGAGTTCTGAAAACTTTATTGATTACAGTGGACGACATTTCAAGGAGCAACAGCAACACACAGCTTAAATAGTCTAAGGGAAGTCGGCTGCTCATGCTAACATTGGCATAGACATTAGTAGTGCATGGCAGCAGAAAACAATATTTAGGTGCCCTAATTGTCTTTGATTATGTAAACAAGATATTAACATCTATAAACGTTACATTTCAGTCAACTGAATATCATTGAAATGGGCTCTAGATAAAAATAAACAGTTCACATAGTTAAAAACAACACTATAATGTGGAGTACAACCTTTCAATCAGTAAGCTTTTTCAGAATGGTTATCTATTTTTCAAAATATTCAGCAGGAGTATGTGAACGGGCCTCAAAGCACTTTTGCTGAACTCCCTGACGCCTTAGCTACCTAACTTTCTCAGTCTTCCCCTGGTGCAACTCTCCTATCTGTATGGCTCTGATTGCAGGTAAATTTGTCTTGACTGGTTAACACCCTTGGCATGTCCAGCATATTTGTTTTTTGTCTGTATTAATCTCTTCAGGTCTTACAACAGCTGCTTGACCGCTGATAATTTGCCAAATAATTCATTATACAGATCCTGCTCAGGAAATGATTACTAATTAACAATGTGACTTAGCATGTCAGACATGTCTCAAGCCTAATGAGCTGAGAGAGTTGCTGATTTTCTGTCAAAACACCAAATTTACGTTTATGAAGATTGCCATTTAGCTAAATGTTGATTAGTTATGAAAAAAAACACAATTCTGACAAGAGTTATCAGTTTTCTTCTACTATAGGTTGGTTTAAAATGAGAAAACAAGACTTGTTTATATATCTGCGGCTACCATGGTTACAGACAGCGAGGAGAATTTTTGTCTGACTGGCCAATAATCACACGGAGAGAAAATAGAAGTTAGAGTCATTTGCAGAAAAGGCCTCTGTAATGAAAGAGGAAACATGCGTCATAGGGACAAGTGTTTGTAATACAGATCTGCAAAATTCAAATCAATTGGGGGCTATATTCTATATTTGACTACTTTAAACACTCAGCTCAGGACTGACTCACACTCTACAAGAAAGAATTTGCATTGCAGTGCCCCCCTATGGTGACACTCATGAAGTAATGAGGAGATCAAATGTTCTCTAGGGAATTTAGCAGATCTGACAACTGCGAAAGAGGGTTTAGAATTGATATAATTAATAAAAAAGAGTAAGTTTGTACTGTGATTATTACAAATATGAATACAATAAGCCATGTCAAGGAGATTAGTATGTTTTTAACCTCTCTTGTTTTTGACGTGTCACAGAGTGTTTTGTATTAGCTTTGATTTAACCATTGCTGTTGGTGAAAAACAAAATCAAAAAGTCATGAAATTCATAGCATTAGGATTAAAAATCTCAGAGGTATGACTCAGGACTGTGAGTGCAGTTGTGTGTTTTTGTGTTCTCCACCCACACGCCACAGCACCCTGCCAGTGCCAAGCACAGTAACCTATATCAAACAGGGTGCTTTCTAATCCAACAAGACCTCACACCAGGCTTTCACCCGACCCACCGAGAAAACCACCATGACAGTCAGGGCAATGATTAGTGAAGGCGCTGTGGGGGAGGATATGCCACACGGCTTATTGAAGGCTCATTTATGGTCGACAAGGTCCCCACACATCCATTTTGTGTTTTTACTGTAGAGGACCTTCTCTGGTTGTCGTGAGCTCTGTGAAACTGATAATAATGTATTCTGTCTAACCTTGAAAGCTTATTCAGCAATAAATTCCTCTGTGAGACTTATTTATTTTGCTCTTAATTAAATTGTTTCAAAACTTAAGATACTAAAAACTTTTAAAAAATCTTGATATGTTCTAGCAAAAATTATGTCACTTGCTATTTTATTCACGTATTGAATAGAAAGATAATGAAACATAATGATACTGTATGTGTGATGTCAATTTTTTTTCATGAGTAATTTTAATGCTTGAGGAAATTGTCGTTTCTGCACATAATACAAAGAAAATAATAATGACCAAATCACAATATTTTTACAATATTTTTCTTGCCTGTCCAATGCTTACTGAAAATAATCGTCACTCAATCATTTAATATTTCATCATGTCACCAAAAAACACCATTTGTCTGCAAAAAGATCCAGAAATGCCACATAGGTATGAAAAACAAGCATCTTACTGTACTGCTTCAAAGGGACATTTCTCCTAAAAATTGGTGCTGACCTATCTATGGTACTTATTGAATATAGTTTTTTGATAGTAATTATTTTCGCTGTGCTTTGCAAACTGATTAACCAATATAAAACCATTGGAACTTGTTCTACAAAAATAATTTATTTATTACAAATGGATCAATATTTAATGAATAAATACATTTTATCTAGTTGTAAATGAATTTAGCAGTGGTACAAAATGGTTAAATGACATTGTTGTGGATTTTCTACTACTGACTTGGAGCTCATTTTGAGCTATCTTTAGTTGTTTCCGTGCAGTGAACTCAGTTTATTTAAAGCAAATTTTTACAAAAAACTAATTCAGATTAATCTCAGCACAGATTATAAAATACAGAGAAAAAAACAAGCAGTAAGACAGATAAACTAAAAACTGACTGAGTGGTAAATTGTAGATCAATAAAATGGGAATGTTTAACTAGAACGGTTGAAGGCAATCGTAAACAAATGTGTTTTTAGTCTTGATTTTTCCGCACTTTCAGGCTTTCCGCAGTTTTCTGGAAGTTTGTTCCGGATAAGTGGGGCATAGGAACTAAATGCTGCTTCTCCATGTTTAGTTTTGGTTTTAGGTATGCAGAGCAGGCTGGAGCCAGAAGACCTGAGTGGTCTGGAGCGGAGGTCTTCAACAGGGGGTCCGCGACCCCTAGGGGGTCTGTGGAGGTATTGCATTGGGGTCGCGAAAGTTTTGCAATAACTGCAATGTTTTCCACTAATTGAAATGTCTTTAAATCCACACTAACATGAATTCAACACACTGTAGTAAACAGATAAATGGAGGCAGAAGATGTCTTTCAGTCATCAATGCACACATTCACCGACACACAGGAGCTCTTTCAAGCTGGGCACCGTTTAATTCACAACACCTGTCTCATCAATCAGGAATCAAAATCAGAAATACTTTAAGAATCAAATTTACTTTTTTTATATTACTCCATATGTAATAAAGTGACTATAGGACCAGTTTGATATAACACAATTTCATACAATATATATAATTAGGGGGTCCCCGCTCCATCTTGCTATCAGTTTGGGGGTCCTTGGCCTGGAAAACATTGAAGACCCCTGGTCTGGAGGGTTGATACACTGTTAGCAAGTCTGTGATGTATTTAGTTGCTAAGCCACTCAGAGAGTATTTTAAAGTCTATTCTCTGAGATACAGGGAGCCAGTGTAAGGACTTTAGAACTGCGGTGATGTGCTCTACTTTCTTAGTCTTAGAGAGGACACAGGCAGCAGCATTCTGGATCAGCTGCAGCTATCTGATCCACAACGGCTCCTAAAAAATGTACTGTTTAACCTCTAGTTACATAGCTTCTTATAAGAAAAAAAATCACATTTTTGAAAATATAGGTGTCCTTAATGTAACTGATAATAAACAACATTTGAAGAATCTAAAACAAGAGTTGCTAGTATATAATTTTATTTGTCTCAAAGACAATACATTAGTTAGAAATGTCAATAGAAATGTGAAAAACAAAAGTAACTCATGTGACCAAAGGCAGAAATTGTATTTTTGAGTTGGTCAAAATAATGCTCAGTGCACAACTGTAAATATTGAGTGATACAGCACAGACTGGTGCAGTGAAAGTTTTTAAATTTTGTCAAATTTACACCATAATATTAACTTTTATTTGCTGACAATTTGTCCTAATAGCAGGCTGTAATTGGCCTTTAGGCTTGTAAGGTCTGGTTACATGTTCACATTAACCCCTTGTTTATTTACACAGCCTTTTAGCCACTATCATATCAGCATCTTCTATCAACCTTAGAAAAACTGTTGTTCTTTGTTTTAAAGTCAGTTTTGAAGTTAGTATCAAAGACTAATCTACGTACAATCTCTTTAGTTTCAATGTTTAATCATTTTAGAGAGGCACCAAATATGTATCCAACTACTTTGTTAGACTGCAATGACTATGACCAGGATGACTAAGAACCTGAGATGACTGAGAACCTTCAACAGCAACTAAGGAACATCTTCCAATAAATAACCTATTTCCTGCATTTGCCTTTTCTTTGAAATTGTGAATTTAGTTGCAGATGGTTGATGTTACAGTATGTTCTGAAAGTGTTTTATTTGTTTCTTTGCATTTTTTGACTAAATTATAAAGAATTATTTTCAAAACATTTACTTTGAAACAAATGTAACTTACTACGGCTAGGTTTTAACAATATACATGTTACATCTAAAGGTTTAACAAATAAGTTTGAATTCCAGCAGATATAGTATTGTAGTTTTGTTTACCTTGTTATGAAGCAGTGGCAAAGACTAATGTGCACTGAGGAGGGTTGAAAGTGCATAGGTGCATGAATTAACAAGCACAAATTCCATGTTTTCCAAATGAAAACAAACTAAAGCCTTTCCTAAAGCCCTTGATAATAAAAAACAGATATATTTACACATCCATGCTCTCTAAATTGAAGGTATATTACATTATCTTCTCTTGGTTTTACTGTAAGTTTTTGGGGCAACATCTAATCTATCAACCTGTTCTTGCCGTGCATGAGTATTTCTGGTGTTTTTGTCACCAGTTACTTTGATTTCAGCTAGCCCCAGCTCTCACCATATACTTTAAAAATGGTTTAGAGACACAAAAAAGCAGTCTTATAAGTTTATGAGAAAAGGAGGAAGGCATCACAAGAAAGAAAAAAGACCATTGTATATGGGAGATTCTTTCACGCAATGGCTAAAGAATAGGTAGGATGTTTTTTCCAAACTTTTTCTGTTTTTTCCATATAATACATGGAGTAGTTATGAAAAGAGCATGCATTCTGAATTTTTTATTTTTTCTTATTAATACATTGATGTAAATAATAACTATTGTATTTTTTTGGTCAGTTTATTGTTCACATCAGAAAATTTAAAATGTAAAATAATTTACAAAATTTCACTTGAAAGTTTCACTCCTGCCACCCTCTGTGTAAGATAGGAGCTGCTTGTGAATTACAGTACATTTGAATGGGATCATCTGGTAGGACTGGCCCCAGGGATGGCCGATGATTGGTTAAAAGTGGCCTTGGCCACCCCTTGTCCCCCATCTAGCTCTGCCCCTGTTGTGAAGTTGTATTCTTAAACTTTCCATCTGTCTTTTAAAAAGATGTGCGTTAGAATTTCTATATTCTGAAGTGACAACAACATTGTTGTTTACCAGGAGATGGTGCACGTTGTAACCCTATGCTTGCATAGTTTCTCAGCAGATATTTGGCTTAGCGTTATGATAAACTTGTTTGTATATTTCCAAATGTAAGACCTCTGTCAGTACCTGGGTTACCAGTCTTCAAAATTCTAAAACTATGTGGAAGGATTGATATAAACAAATGTATTTTTCTAGGAGGAATTTCCAATAAAATAGGGTGAACATTTTTATTGTCACATTCCTCATGTTTTTATTTATCCATCAAAGGCCAAATCTTTGTTGGAATGGCCATTAGTGACTCATAAGTGTCATAATGTGTGGATTCAAAGTGGGACTAAAGTGCTGACAGAAACACATGGGTCTTAAGGCTGAGGATCTGATAATAATAATAGAAAACATGAGGGAGTAACAGAAGGGGGAACAGGACATGAAGCGAGAGCAAAGACACAAACAGACTAATGGGGCATTTGAGAGAAGAATCCAGCAAAGAACCATGAAGTTGAATTGCTAATTGCATAGAGGTGACGAGTGCAGAATGTCTTTGGATGCAGGTGAGTGAATTAGAGGATAATATAAAACAACTCAGCCACAAAGAAATTAGGGAGATTGAGGAGAGAGACAAATTAAGATCAGTTGCAGTGAACTAAGACGGAAGGAAACTATTAATCCCATGGGTTAAGACTTACAGAGATCTAAGAGAAATAAATGATAAACTTAGACACTAAAACAGAGAAATAAACTTATATGTGATATTTCTACAAATGACAAACTCAGGGAACCAAATGAATTAATGTGCTGTACTTTTATTGAGCGTGAAGTCCCTGTACTCCAGTCCCTGTAAGGACTTAACACTACATTCAGACATTCACCCATTCATACAAAATAACACACTGATGATGGGAAGACTGTAGCCACAGCTGCAGTGGGGCACACTGACAGAAGCGAGGCTACAAAACTGTCAGTATCGCTGTTCCCTCAGGCCACCAAACAGCCAGCAAGAAGTATCCTGGGCAAGGACAGAACGAGTGAGATGGACAGAGCAGGTGCTACCTCCTATATTAAAATACAAACATATAAAGTATGTGACCCATGCTACTTACAGGATGTACTTAAACAAAATAACGAAATTGTAAAGGTTTTAAAAAGGAAAACAAAGAAATCTTGGAAAGTAAAGGAGATTAAAAGAAAGGAAAGAAGGGGAAAGGAACTGAATAAAAATCCTAAGAATAAATTTAAGAAATGCCTTTTTTAGATACTTATCTTGTATCTACAGTACATCATCTGTTCAATTCATATTCCACTGTTGTTGTTTACTCATGTGAAGTGGTCCATTAAGTGGGGTCATGTTTCGTTTATGTCTTACTGCCATTTCAACTCTACAAAACTAATTTGAGCCCAAGAGAGTTGTCATGGTGAAATGATATAACGTGCTGTACATTCATTACAGCAAGAAATATGCTGTAAGACAATCAACTAAAATGACCTGCCTATCTAGCTGAAAAGAACATGAGAAGAATTTATTCAAGCATGCCGAAACCTTTGGTTAAGGTCAAACTATTGTGAGCATGTAGAACAGGAGTGGTTCAGAATGTAGCCTTTTCTTTGCCAGGAGGAGTTTCAAATCAGGTCCCCTCTATGGCTGCAGCATTAAGAGAGTGTGGAGAGAGTACCTCAAACATCACAGCTTTTCAACAATTTCATTTTCAACAGCCCATTACACACAGGATGAATTATTAAAGGGAAGAATGTTTTGAAGAAGCAAAAACTGCAGCTATGTTTGTTTAAAAAGGAAAGAAATCAATGAAAAACTGAAATGCAGCTGAGACAGCTTGAGTTGAAGACAATGGTTCCAACTGTTTGGGTAGAAATCCAACTATAGGTAATTCATAACAAAATTAAAAGTCTTCATAAGGTCACAACTAATACCGTTGGGATAAAACAATTGTGACCTGTTTACTTTTGCCATAAATAGTGTGTATAAATGAATAAAAATTATATTTATGGCTTTTTGGGTCTGTGTTGCCATTAAATCAATGCAATTATTAAAGTTTATTTGTAATCATCAACCAGCATTTTTCTGGAATTTAAATCCAGCCATTCTAAAATTTCAATGTGTTCTGTTTTAACCCTTTTGGTCATATCTCTTAAGATATTTTTAGGGCTGTGCTCTGCTGTAAGGTGAATGTCTGCTTTAGTCATTTATGGCCATGTTTTAAACCTTGTTTTTCTTCTTTTATTTCTCCATCCCATCATGCTTTTATCCCTTCATCAACTATGACCTATTTTGGAGGTTTACGGTTATGTCAATTTTTTAAATGACCTCTTGAAGAAATCCCTGAGCAATGCCTAATTCAACACTAAAAGCTTGGGTTGGCTTTTGTAATCTATCCTTGTTCCATTCTTCTTTTGTCTTCTGAGCCCTTTAAAGAACAACTGTATTAACAATGATTTACACATTAGGGGTTTATACCAAAGAACTCTGAAAGAAGTAGTAGCGCATACTGAGTGTATCAGGGTAAATGTAGCCTGAAAAATAAAACAACATAAATTGATATGTTTTTTTTTTATCTGTATTGTTTGTTTAGAGTATATTTCTCAAAAAAATACCAATAAAATAATGATGTTTGTATCTATAATGTGACAAAACCTATCAAAAAACAAATTGTTATCTCTGTTTTTAGGCCTTGTAGTTGACATTTTGTGATTGGGTATTTTTCCCAGAGTTGCTTTGATGAAATAATTGATGACATTATTTGAGTCATTATCATATTAAATTGGATATAAAGCTCGTTCTTTTCACAAACTGAACACATCCTCTCCTAAGTGGTTGTTTCCTGAGATCTATTCAGCAGAAGCCTCACCTTTGAATGCCATATGCTGTCCAAGGTGCTGAAATCTGTCAAAAAGTTCCTGTTTGGCTCTGAAAGTCCACCAGCTACATTAGATTGCATCCAAAATGCCATCTAACACAGACAATGATGAATGTGCATCTGTCTGTTCACGCTGAGGGTTACATGCTATACAATTAAAGGAGGAAATTGCTTCCTGTTTTCTGTTGACTGGATGCACACCTTCTCCGGTATATATAAACAATTCTTAGGCAAGGCTTAAATATTTGCACAGAAAAGGTGGATAGGCCTATAAACTCTAAATTAAAGTTAAAGAGATGGTTCATTTTAATTACTGTTGCAGACGGAATCTTTCTTGAAATGCACTCCTTATTTAGATGATTGGTGATTTTTACTTGTCAGAGAACTTGTGGGACACATTTTAATATGGAAAAGTAACCACAACCCAGAAGCCTCTGTCTGAAATAATAAAACAGAAATATATGAGGAAAAAAATACTTGTCCTTATTACGGTATATTCTCATAAATGAGGAATGTTAACTATTTGATCTCTGTATTCACGTTAAGCCTCTGAAACTCCAAGGCAAGATCAATATCGCTTAGACAGGAGCCCCCGTTTCCATTTGTTTCGAAGCAAGTGAGCGGTTTGGAGCTAGTGTGGCCAACTTTCAGACCTCTCCGTGTCTGTCCGCCTTCTTATTAACATTCATCAGTTGTGGGTGTGATGGTGAGAAGATCCGAGGCGCGCGTCGCGGAGCGGAGACGCGCACCATCCTTGTGCGTTCACAAGAGGTGTTGCTGCCGGTGGACGTGGAGCGACGGAGAAGAGCGGAGAAAAAGAGACCAAAACCTCACCGCAGGCGACCATTCCTTTAAGACTGGTGTCATTTAACTGATATATAACATTCGTTTTCAGATTACTTTCTTTTTTTTTCCCCCTCTCCAATATCAAAGCTGCTTAATATGTGTTGGATCTAACGCCTGCAAGGAGGGAAAAAAAAGGGAGACCAGACTCCTCTGGTAGATGTGGACACCTGAACTGTAGACATGGGAAATATAGTGAATTTATTTTTTTCTATTCTTCTGGTTTTTTGGGTATGCGCGTTCGGGGGTTCGCCCAGTGTTCAAATTGGTGAGTAGCCAACTCATTCATAAAAGAGAAATGTGTTTAAAATACTCGAATGGATTAGAGAAAACATGCAAATTTGGTTAAAAAAAAATCGACCACGCTGTTTGGATTTGTAGAAATATAACCAACATTGTGCCATTATTACAGGGGGACTTTTTCCAAGGGGCGCGGATCAAGAGTACAGCGCGTTTCGGATAGGAATGGTTCAATTTGGAACCTCGGAATTCAGACTGACACCTCATATTGATAATCTGGAGGTGGCCAACAGTTTCGCGGTCACCAACTGTTGTAAGTCACACATATTTTGAGTCTTATTATCATTCATTAACCCCTGAGTCTTTATATGATCAACAAAAAAAAAGAGCAAAAAACAAAACAGTAATGACAATTCTTCACCAGACTGCAGATCATAACAAAAAAATATCTTAAAACATGTCAAACCTTTTTGTTCTATATTCAATATTGGGTATATGAGGTTTGTAGTTGAGGATAATGGCAGTAGCTGGGGAAAAGTTGGTTTCCACAGTAACCGCCACATCAATACTGCTCCCTGTCTTTCACATTCATTAGAAAAGGCTGCACTTAAATGTCAGCAATGAAAGTTATGATATTTAGGTGTATTGCTTTTTTACAACTTTTATAAATAGGATCAAACTGAATGGGAGTGTTTTCTACTCTATTAAAGGTCTTCTCATTGCATTGTAGTCTCTACTTATCTTTTTTATTTGGCATTTTTTAGGATATAAATGGACCTCTTGTCACAGTTAGTCGCTTCTCATACCCTCAACTGCGTCTTCTGTCATGTTTAGGAAGAAGTATAACTAAAAGGGCAATTGGCTGATTTTATTTTTCCCTTTTACGCGTTCACGTCTTTTCTCAGCTCAGAGGGAGCGCTGTTCATCCATGGTTGGAGAGCAGCAAACATACATGCCTGTTAAACGCTGTAACACGACTAAAGAGGACTGATATGAAGAGATTGATTAAAGAACGATGCATGGGAGGATTTCATGTTCATTGCATCATTAGCAGTATTGCTCCAATCAGCTTTTAGTCCGGTTTAAATCACCGGCATGCCTCTGGACTTAATAAAGGTTTAAAGTCATGATCTAAACTGTGACTTGACTTAGAGACATTTTTTTTTTTCACTGAGTTTCTTCCAGATCGGCTATGATCGCCTGGTATGATTTATTTTAAACTGCTGCAGCAAATAGGTCGCTATATTTCGTACATTCATTAGGCAGTTGCCAAGCGACTGCTGCTCTCAACAGTCCCTTAAACATAAATCAAACGCTTCTCATTGGTGCGCGCACGGGTCCAATCGATCCCATTACCATATAAAACCTTCCTGTTTGGAGATGCTGACTGTGTGCGACAGATCACATGAAGAGTCGTGTGTTCAAGCGATAATTGCTCCTTCAATTATTTAATCATTGTTATTGTTTTCTTTTTACAAGAATTCGAGAATAGTGTCCTTCCTGATAAAAAACTAAAACAAAGCAAAAAAAAAAACAAAAAAAAAAAAACAAACAAACAAAAAAAATATCTGACTTTAGGGTTTTAAGAGTTAAAAGTTTATTAATAACTACCCTTAGCTGTTTAATGTAAGGAGATTACAATTTGCTTTACCATTCATTTTTGTCTCATATGACAATTTCTGTAACCCATGAGGGTGATTTCTAAATGTTTTTTTGAATTGGCCTTACTCAACAAGTGTTTTTCTAAAGGAAAATGTAATGATACATAAGCTAAAGTTATAACAAGAAAATATTTAAAGGAGAAGTTTATTAAAACAATCAATTCATATCAAAAATAACCAAAGATATTTTATGCTTTTATTGTTTAAACCCATCCAGCCCTGGTGTGCTCTGGCTGCAGACACTGAGGTTCATTATACATTTTAATAGCAGCTTCTTATGAATGCATATATTAATGTTGATGGTGTGATGCTGAGCTGATTGTCATCTGGTCTGACAATAAGTAGAAATCCAGTTTGCTTCTCCCATGTATTAATCTGGTGCCTTTTTGCATAATGTCTTCATATTAACTGCGTTCTCGAGTAGGAGTTAGAAGGAGGAGGGTTGTGAAGAGATGTGGATGAAAGGAGGTGGGTGTGTGGGCTGGGGGGGTGCTTTTAAAGCCAGTAGATGGCAGTCTGTCTCACCATCCACCTTTGACTGTAAATTACAGCACTTTAACACCGCCACTTTGCCTTTTGTTCGAATGTACTCCATGAAAATGCATTCAAGGGAGAATAAAGGGAGAAATATGAAGCTGCTGTGCCATGCTAAAAGCAACGACATGTACCGATAGGCTTTTTGTTACCTAATTGCACTCTTTGAATAGGAGGGAAAAGAGGTACTTTGGCACTCAATAATCAGCATAAGATAAAGAAACATATTAGAATGAAGAAAATAAAGGCATTTTATCAGATAGCGCTTAAACTGTACAATAGATTTAGTTCTACACATTTAATTCAAATCAAAAATACTTTAGTGATTTAAAAAGGGAAATTAAATGTTCACGTAATTTAAAGCTTTTTCCCCCAACAAATTGTTTATATCAACAGCTGTAGGCAGGAGATATTTTTTGTTGAACTCTGTCTTGCAAAAGATCTGAAGAAGCCTTTAGATGTTCTAACATAGTTACCAGAACAGAGGTGCTATTCTTTATCAGCTTCTTGAGCTTCTTTAAGTCATTTCCTTCAATTCTGTTACCCAAGCAGAGGATGGCAAAGAGATGACACTACAATAGACTTAAAGGAAATATGTGGGAAGTTGCTAAATATTTCTTATATCTTTATTATGCAGGTTTTCTTTCTGTTATAAACATATGCATATGATGTACAGATAAACATATTATACATGTCTCTTCTGTTAATGTTTTTGATCACTCCATTGTTTCAGATCACCAATATAATCCATGTTAATACAAAAAGCAGTTTCTAGATATTTCATTAATAAAATAAAATTACCTCAACCCATTGAAAAAATGGAATTAAAAACATTTTAAGTAATCTTTGCAATATTGATGTCAGACACATTGGAGCGACCTACTTAAGGCCATGGTACAGACTTAAATACAATTAGTTTTATCCAGACTTCTCAGATTTTTGGTTTAATCTATAAACTTATTATTATTATTATTTATTTTAGTTTTTTGACAGAGAGCAGATTTCATGGTATCACCAATTATAGACAGGGTGTTGAATCAGCCTCAGAATACCCCACTGCCATTGGTCAAATGATGTTCTCTACTAAGATGTTGTGTAAGTTTTGCTCAAGATGTACCAAGATGCAACCATTCAAAAATTTCTTCGTTTGTCTCATCAGTCAACAGAATATTCTCCCAAATGTTTAAGGAATTATTGAAATGCTTCTTAGGTAACATTAGACCGGCCTGTATTTTGTTTTTGGCCAGCCATGATTTTTTTGCCTAGTCTCTTCTTATTGTTAAAACAAAGAGCTCTGACCTTAACTGAGAGAAATATAGCATGTGGTGCTTTAGATATTTATAGATTTCTTTTTTTTTTTTGTGACCCCTTGCATGAGTTGTTGCTGAACTTTTGGAGTAATTTGGCCTGAACAGTCACTGCTTTTCAAAGGCCCACTGTTTTTGTGTGTAGTGGAAGATAATGGCTCTCATACTCATTTGCTGGTTCACAAAGTCATAAAAATGGCCCTGTCACTCTTTCACAGCTAACAGAAGTCAATTATTACATCTGTCAAAATGTTCTATTAAGGTGAATTCTTCATAGTACTGGAATTGAACTCAATTTTCCAGCAGATGTAGCTATTCACAGTTCATTTAGTTATCAAAATGCATATTTTGAAATAGGGGTCTTGTATTTTCTGCCATTATCTTTGTGTTATAGTACACTTGTTTGATCTAAATTGCTGTACTCTGTGAATAAGGTATAATATATATACATAAGGTTTTATTATCTATTTTTACAGCAAAAGGTGCTGACTTATTTCAACTTTTAATTTGGTATAGTCTTTTATTTCCTCACGATGAAGAAATATCTCAGTGTAAGTGTCGGGCTTCCTTTCAGACTTATGAAACTCTGGCTGCACTATGCCTGTGCAGGAACATACTTCATCAACACAGTGTGTCAGAGTCAGTGGGAGGCGAAATGACACATTGCTCAATCAATAACGGTTCATCTGGGCAGCCCTGCATCTGCTGCCAGCACCAGGGGACTTATTCTGACCATGTATATGTGTGTATGTGCAGTAATGTTGAAGCAGTATCCACTCAAAGCAATAAATTTATATGCCTCTTCAGACCTGCTGGATATGAGCCACCTCTTAATCCTGTAGATGACTAGAACAACCTAAAGTTCTTTATCGCTGTTATGTTGGAACATAATGGTGACATTTTTAATGTTTCATTTTGTATAAAGTAATTTGAAACCTATTATGTTAAAACACAGAAAACATTAAGCCCATTTCCTAATTCATGTTCACTAGTTTTAATACCTTAGCTTAAATTTAGAAGAAGATTAAAAGATTCTGAAAGATATGGGCATCTACTATGTCATACTGCAGCCATTCACTTCAATGTTGTTCAGTTTTTATTTTTTATATTTTATTTTCAGACTCTTTGAGATAACCAATATATCCATCCATCCATCTTCTGTCACGTTTGATCCCTTCTGGGGTTGCGAGGAGTGCTGATGCCTATCTCCAGCTTTCTACAGGGTAGAGGCAGGGTACACCCTAGACAGGTCGCCAGTCCATTGCAGGGCAACACAAAGACAAACAACCATTCACGCACACACTCACACCTAAGGAGAATTTGGACAAGCCAATTAGCCTTTACCCTGAACTATAGTTAATTTAATGAGATTTCTGGCTGGGCCAACAGCAAATATTGCTTAATTGTCATCTGGGTGGAAATCTGAAAAGTAAACTTCAGATACAATTTCTCCACAAATATATATTATTTTAAGATTTGCAACAAAAAAATAGTTCAGCAGATGGTTGAAAAGCTTTAATGTGGACTATCTTAATGCAGGCAGTATCAAACAGATGGCAAATAGAATTTAGAGCAAAACCACACATCTCCTACTGTAAGAATGTGGGCTTTGACAGAAAACAGCAACAATAAAAAAAAATAAAAAAAAAATAACTTAGATTGCTATTTTTGGGTTGTTATTTTAGGAGCACCAATTGTTTAGAGCAGAACAACTTCCAGCTTCCAGCTTCAAGCATAACAAGTTTAGGTGAAGACCAGAAATATTCAATAGCAAAAACTATTGGGGTAGATAAAAGGTTTCGATCTTTCTC